TTTTTTCTTCCTTTTACATGCTCTGCTGTAACAGGAAGAAACCTTCTGTAATAACTCCTTTCTGGTAATCTCAAATTCCAGAGAATTGAGAAGTTGCTTCTCCACGGTTTCCTTTGTAAACTCAGTCTTCTGAGCCATAGCTGTATGGAATGATCGCCGTGGGATACCTCCACTAGAAGGGGCATTTGTACTCAGGGCATTGGTTTGTAATAGGAGGTTTCCTCTTCCCAGACCTTTCAGAAAAATCAATTTGTATAACCAACTGAAATAGTAAAATACTACAATTAACTACTGTATATAAATAGAAGTGGCATTGAAGAGCAAAAATGAACAGGAGACAAGAAATCAGATGTGAGTTCCAATTCTAGCTTTGATATGTTTGAGTTGGGGGGATTGCATAGGTCAGCCCCAGTGACCAATTCCTTGTACATAACATTAAGGTAATGGCTAACAACAAATCCCCTGCTTACCTTACAGGACTGTTGTGAGGAAGAAGTGGTAACACATGAGGAAGGGTTCTAGAATAATGGCTAAGTATGAGTCTTTATTTTCTTAGATTGAAACAGAAAGCTCTTTGGTAAACTTAGAATTGTCATTTTAATATGTAACCAGTTTGCCCTTCTGTTTAATTAGGCATTTGTAATAATTTGTCATAAGTTTTTACCTCTTGCTTTATATCCTAGTGAAGTAGAGCACTACCATCATCCAAATGGGGAAAATAAAGCATGGAAAGCCAAAATCATGGAGGCTACTTCGTTGTTTTCTTGAATAACACATAGTTCACTATCTAATCTAACCTCCTGGTCCTGCCCTGAAACATCTGATGTGTCTATTCTGTTGTATGTCTGCATCGTGCCTGTTTACAACTTGCAGCCACTACAGGATTTTATTCCCCCTCTGCTCGGAATATCCTCTGTCCAGATCGCCATCTGACAAACAACTGCCCATTTTCAACCCAATATAATCATTACCTCCTCTGTGAAACCTTTCTCAATTCCTCCATGCAGAAATACAGATACCATCATCAGTGTCTGAGAAATACCATATGTGTGTATCTGTTTGAATTTTTATCACCATGCTATGTGATGTCTGTTTACTTGTCCGAGCTCCTCAAAAGCAGAGTGTTTTGTCTTATTCATCGTGTATTTACAATCCAAGTCACATCACATATACCAAGTATTTCATATATATTTGTACATTATTGTTAACTCCTGAATATGGCTGTAGTATTTTACTATAATAGTTTGAATGATAAAAATGAAATATTTAAAGAATAATCTACCAATTCTTTTTTCAGAACTTGAAGGATGTTGATTTCATTTTGGTACTGGGAACTTTGAGGTAGAGCAGTTAAATAAAAAGATTGCTATCACAACAAGAGAATATTAAAATATTGGATAGTCCGGCTTTACCAATGGTCGTGGTTCTTTCACAGAGTCTTGATGTCACATACTATATTAAATTTAAGCATCTGATTGATTCTTCAGTTTAATTTTTCAGTAAATACATGTGGTTTTGTGAACAGCTTCTCTCTCAGAGTTACCATGACTGCTGTGAAGTTTTCATCTTATTTGCAATAAGCTTTTCTTAAGAACCTATTGTTTTTCTTACAATAGTAGACAGTCTTCAAAAATAGATCCTACATATATCCAAAAGGACAAATCGGTAGATAAACTCTATGACTGGCAGCAGGTAATGCTGTAAATAACAACAACAACAATCCACACACAGAGAGAGGCGCATTTTCTTATTTTATCTTCATCACCACTCTAGAAAATTTCTAATGGGATTTTAAGTGCTTATTTTAGTATATCTAATCTAGGTGCATGGCATTTTTCTTCCATAAAGTATTTAAGCTTTGATCATGACTCCCACAGTGCACATTGTATGCATTTTGTTTTCTTTGTGGCTTTGATTGCTTAAAAAGTAGAAATGTAGTTTAAAATATTATATACATAAGAGTGTAAAAAAATAAACATGTCTCTCCATGACCCCTCACAAGTGTTAAGTTTGGTGTTTTCCTTTTGGGATTTTTCTCAAACACATATAATATGCATATAATGATGAACTAGAGTAAATATTTTCAGGAGTTTATTTCCTTTTTTTAAAAAAAACTACTTAGAGCAGGACAAAGAGAAATTGGGGACTAATATTTGGCAGTATCAGGACAGGCAAATAGTCCAGTATCAATTCCTTATCTATTTTCTCCATTTCACTTCTTCTTAAAATGACATTTTCAGTGGTTCTGATCATTGAAACCTTAAAACTCATTGTTTTAAGAACAGCATTAAAGGATAGTTCATTAAAAGGGCAATTTGTCTGTTGCTAAAATTCAGTTTCTTACTTCAGGGCAAGTTTATGTCCAATGTCAGATCAAGACTTGCACAAACGGTGAACAGTTAAGCATTTATTGAATGTCTGTTATAAGTAGTTTTAGTCCAAATGTGTGTTCATATTTCACCATCTGTAGAAATGAAAGATGTAAACACAACCCAATATTTCATAATGATCGCTCTACTATGGTAGCATTGAGGACGTTTGAAAATATAATTGAAACGGACAGAAGAGTCAGAATTCATATTCAGAAACTTGTGAATCATGCCCATGGAGTCCAGATTTGTTGCTGTACAGCAAAGTCACAATGGAGAACACATTCTTCAAAGCTCTTGTATGAAATGAGGTACACCTGCCTCTTGTGTGGCAAACTCTGTGGGACACTGTGGAAATGTAACAAAATTAATTCTCAAGGAGTTTTTTATTTAAGGAAAAAAAGAGTTCTTTTTCTTGTCTTGCAATGGCGCCCTAATATGGGCGCCTGTGCACGTATACACATAAACTCAATAAAGATTGGCAGAATTAATATAAATTTCCTATTTAAATAAGACATTTCTAGAACCTAAAAAAATGCATACTGTATATACCCAGGTTTCATGGAATAGTCTCAGTGATGCATCCCCCTCCCCATCTACTTTCCCATAATTACTAGAAATACAGTGAATTCTGGAGAAGCACTCTCACTCAAAGATACTTAAGAAATGAATGCTTCTCCTCTACAACACTTATCTGACGTAGGTGTATAGCAACACAAAGGACTGAGGTTTCCTAGGCCACCTCAAGCTGTAGATATATTTACAGAACCCACATGCAGAGACCCAAAAAATGGTACTGCTCTCTCTGAACCCCTCCTGGCAGCTTCATGACATTGCAAGCTTTGACTTCTCTAACCTTGGGATTGCAACCTCCCTGCAAGACTGTGCTGCAGATCTCAGTAATACCAGGCTCTAGTTTCTGCATCCCAGAATTCTTTGGGCAACACCACTTTTCTCTCCCTGGTTCTATACCAGTAAACTGCCACTATCCCTAGAAATAGGTAAAGATGGACTCAATTTATTTAACTACTAAATATAGTTTTTCTACAAAGTATCCTTTTTCTGACTAAAGACTCCTTCCTAATTTCTACGAGTTATCTTTTCTGCAATCAGTTCACATTCTCCAGTCAATCTTCCTACCTGGCCTCACTTTCAGTCGTAGACTGGCCTTCTTATCAGTCCTGTTCCTGAAATTCTTGCCATCTCTCTATTCTCTCAATTCTCACCCTTGCCCCCAATAATGAAAGAATGAATTAATGAAAGAAACATTGTCTCGGTTTCTCTTACCAGACTTTCTAGATTAAGAATAACTACTTGTGGGACACCTTCTCTTCCTAAACACCTTCTTCATACCCAGCCAAAGTTAGTGACCTTTTTCTACATTTGCATAAAAAGTAGTATATAACCTTGGTTCCTGTCAGGGGTTATATGTCATAGTAGGTGCTCAATAAAAAATACAAGGTTGTTCAACAGAGTAGGCTTCAAACTGTAACCATGCCATATACTTAGTGTTAAATTTTGGCCAACCTACCAGACAGCTCTGTACCTCAATTTGCTCATCTATAAAATGGGAATAATAACAATAATAGTAAAAAATGGTACCTGGCACATAACAGGCACTACAAAAGAATAGACCGCATTGCCTTTTGTGGAGTAAATGAAAGAATGAACGCATGAAAGAGATGTCATCTGAACTATTTTTACACCCTGACAAGCTCTTGTGGAGCTCCTCAGTTTCTAGATAGAGGGAGCAGTTGGCTAATTCAGGAACTCGAGTTTTCCAAGGCCAGTGAGTCATCCTACCCACCTTGCATCTTAGTTATTTCCTATTTCCTCCATTATTTCTAGTGGACACCTAGATCCTTGGTGTTCCACCCTAAGGCACTGCCCAGCTGCAGTTTACCTGAGGCAGTTCTCATTCTCTTTCTTGTTTTGAGTTACTAAAGCCCATAGAATTATCCTAAATCCTATAATCATTTAATGTTACCAAATCTATATCCCAGAGATTTCTCCCACCCAATCCTCTCCTGTTCCAGACCCTCAGATTTGATGGCTTGTCCTTTTCAAGGCATCAAAGATTGACTAACTGAGATGAAAAGGCAAAGTAACTTAAATTCTAGTGATTGGAGAAATGATGTTATCAGTGAAGCAACTTGGTCTACAGGGAGGGATGATGTAAATTTAGCAAAATCTGTATTAGATTCTGACACATTTTATCTTCTTGGCTATCAATAGTGGGAAATAAGTGCAAAACAAACTATGAATAGGAATAACCAAAAGTAAAAATGACTTTCCATTTAAAGAGTAATGCAATAATATATATCAAATATTAAAACATTTCATCATGTAAGTATCTTGGAGATTTTAAGTAATTCAGAATATGTAAGGATGAAGTCAGACTGTTTAACAATATCCACTTTTGAGATTCTGATTTATTTTATTATTCTATTAAAATTATTTTATTTCCTTCAGTTGACATTGGCTCATCCATCACTTAAAAATGGTACTGCTTTTTATACTTTAATATTCTACATAGTTGAAAATACATTTTTATGAAATGTTTCTCTTAAAAAAATTTTTTTCTTGATTGAAATTCCCTTGACCAAAATAATATTTTCTGTTATATTACAGCCTCACTGTTAGGAATGAAGAAAGAGGGGAAAATGCAGGAAGGCCCACACATACTACAAAAATGGAGAGTATCCAGGTCTTAGAGGAATGGTGAGTGTGAGATCCACATAGTAGTTGCTTCTTGTATTTATATGTCATTTACATCTACTGTGTGCCCAGGTATTATCACTTCCTTCATGTACTCTTCAAAATGATTTTGTAAAATGAATATAAACTCAGTCTGGAAGATCTTATTTTGTCATTGCCATTGCTTTTCCTTAAGTTTTCTGATAGCTATGTGAAGTATTGGCTAAACCATTGTCTATATTTATCTCTTTCAAAAAATAAAAATTATTACATGAATTAGCACCCCCCCAAATTGCTCTCATTTTTTACTTCCTTTTTCTGATAATATGTTAAGTTGTTCTCTTTATAAGGAAACCAATCTAAACATTAAAAAAAGATATGGAATATCCAAGTTGGCGAGGAAGGGCACCACCTGGATCCTGGCCTATTTCTACCAGAGCAGACTCTGACCAAGTGTTCTTCCAAAATGAAAAGTTGAAATGCAGTACCTCTGGAATAAAATAAAATACAAGTAGACTGCATAATTATAAGTGCTTTCTTTTTTCTGCCTTTTATGAGATTTTAATAATCATGTTTCATAGTAATTTTAAAGCTTTTTAAAATTAAAAAATCTAAGTGAATAGGAATATTCAGGCATTATGGAGTCATAACACATCCATTTAAAATACCTAGTCAAAAAGATAAGACAAAAATAAACTATAAGTACTTCTTTGACCAATGTGTTTTAGGTTGAAATATTATTATATAGACCAATGAATGGGGAAGGAAGGTTAGGATCATTTTAACCATAAGAATCTCCAAGCTTCTCTCATCCACTTTGATGTATAAGAAAATGGATTTATGACTGATAGTTTCTGCCGTAGTCACTGAGAATCTGCATATAAATATCAAAAAAAACCACCACTGTCATTATAAAAGTTCTCTGTTTTTCAGCTGTGATAATTCTATCGTGACTAATAATTTGTTCATAACTTTTTATAGAAAAAAAAATTTTGAGATAGGGTCTCACTCTGTTACCCAGGCTGAAGTGTAGCAGTGTAATCATGACTCACTATAACCTCAAACTCCAGGGTTCAAGTGATCCTCCTGCTTCAGCCTACCTAGTAGCTGGGATTACAGGCATGTACCACCACACCCGAGCTAATTTTAAAAAATTATTTTGTGGATACAGGATCTCACAATGTTGCCCAGGCTGGTCTCAAATTCCTAGTGACCTTAGCCTCCCAAAGCACTGGGATCACAGGCATGCATCACCATGCCTGGCAAAAAATTCTTAAAATTTAGGAAAATACGTGACAAGTGCACACAAATGTATCCAGTGACAAATGAAAAAAAAAAAAAAAGGCTACCAGAAATGAAAATTAAAACTGTATCTTATGACTGGAAAATTGGGGCGTGGAAATCAGCTTATTCTAAGTAACTTACACACTGTTTCTATTAACTTGCAATATATTGTTAAAGTTTGAACATTTCCAAGCTTTATTAGAAATGTATGATGACCACATGTGTATTGTGCATAGACCCTTGCTATTTCAACACTTGGTTCCCTTACACACCTCTTGTGCCTACATGAATTTTTGTCAAGAAGTAACTGATCTAGTCCTGGCAGATATTTATGTACCAAATCAGGCTGGACTGAGTGGTAAAATATTGACCACTAGATGGCAGAAATTGGATAGAATTTCTATCTGCTCCTTGCTTCACACAGTCTAGCAGTCAGGTTCAAGTTTCCTTTGATAATGGTCCCATTCTGTCTCTGCAGCCAAAACCCCACAGCAGAGGAAGTGTTGTCCTGGTCTCAAAATTTTGACAAGATGATGAAGACCCCTGCAGGAAGAAACCTTTTCAGAGAGTTCCTCCGAACAGAATACAGTGAAGAGAACCTACTTTTCTGGCTTGCCTGTGAAGACTTAAAGAAAGAGCAGAACAAAAAAGTAATAGAAGAAAAGGCCAGAATGATATATGAAGATTACATTTCTATACTGTCACCAAAAGAGGTAAAAATCTGGAAAATATTGAGGTGGGCTTTCTAAGACCAAGGATAACCCTAAAAGGACTGCTGTCCAAATTGGGTAGTGCATGGAATGTGAACAGGTTAGAAGACTAGCTAGTAGATAGTTTTGCTTCCTTTGGGAGAGTCCTTCTGAGCACTTGTTTGAAGACTAGGTTTCTCCACTAAGCTTTGATCATTTATCCTGGCTGAATGGTGTGTGGTAGTCCACTTGCTTTTCAAAACTGATACTAATGAGCCTGTTTAAGCACAATTGCTGTGACTTAAACTAAAATGGAAAGAATGAATTTATTTTAGTGATGTTTCTCAAAGTCTGATCCCTTCTCATCACTTGTATGAGAAGCACCTGGAGCATTTGTTTAAAAAATAAATCCTTAAGACTTAGGACTTCTGTGTCTAAATTTTTGGAAATAGAGCCCAGAAATCTGTACTTTTAACACACTTTCCAAATATATACTAGTTTGAAAGCCTCTGGTATAGGGGCTCAAAAGAAAAAAAAAATCCACACCTGACATGTTTAATGTTTATGACTGAATATTTACAGAACTGAAAAATGGGCCTTTATGACTACTACTATTCTTGGGGCAGGGGCAGAAATGGAAATTAGTTTACTTATTCTAGATTTTCTGTGATTGAAAGTGCAAGCTTTCTCCTCCATTGCCAGAATGCGCCTAATCAATAAGTAACACTTCTAGCAACTAAATAACACTTTTCTATTAGCTTTTAAAACTTAATTTGTTCTTGAGAAATGTCCCTGCTAACAGTTAGAAGCATTTGGTGAGAGAGGGGTTAGTAGTGTGACCAGACCCTTGGAGTGCTGAGTAACAGAGCTTCATAGAGGGTTCTAGAATGCCTTCCTTCTGCTTTCATGCAACTCTGTTTTTTGTCTTTTCTGTTTCTCCTAAATGGAGATTTTTCACCTTTGCATTTAAATGGCTTAACCTGGTACTTTCTGTTCCCAGAAAGGCTGGGAGTCTTCGCCTTCACACCTCGCCCGTGTGCACCTAAACATTAATGGGGGTCATCTGTGACTCATCCAATACTTGATGTGATCCCATCCCTCCCTACACCCCTTGCTCTGAGATCTGTAAAAAGGAATTTGTGTCTATTTTATGAATCTACGTTTGGAATGCTACACAAACTATTTCACTTCTAGTAAGGTATACAATACATATATAATTTAGATTTCTTTAATTAATTAGGTTAAAGTGCCATTGGTACCTTTGTCTCTACAAAATGAAAAATCTTCTGCAATGGAATGCACAAAAGATTGGTTTTTTTTACTTTCTACATGAGTAGGGAAGAGGTATTCATAAAAACAAGCTGGAGAGAATTTTTCTGTAGCCTCAATACATTGATTACTGAAGTCACATTGTATTTCTAATACCAGTATATTTCTGCATCCTAAAAATACATTCTTCAGGTTACTGGTCTACCTAGACATCTAAATAACTCTACTTGGATCTTATTAGCATAATGATTTAATTCTCAATTTTATTTTGTAGTAGCATTATATGGCAAATAAACCAGATGATCCAGATGTGCCCAAAGAAGTGCTTCTTGTGCCTATAATTACACAAAATTTCATAGTCCTTGGGAAGATCCTTTAGCCTATTTCTTTCCCCAAAATCTGTAAAATAGGTCACCTTAAAGTAATAGTTGTCTAGATTATCTAATCCATTCCTTTGTACTATATATGTATCATCTTAAAATGATACTCTTCTATCTCTTAAATATTAGAAGAAAAAGTATTCTTCATATTAAGTGCGTATAGCTCCTTTATTTTTAGTTTTCATTTTTTAACCTTTAGTTTTGTGGGAAACATTTTCCCATTAACCTCATAGCTCCTGATGTTCTGATGTCAGTGATTGATGGAGCTGTAGAAAACAATTTTCACAAAATCACTTTCTATTTGCATCATATTTAGAGTCACTATATTTATTGATTAAAGAAAGACAAACTATTTTTTTGCTAAAGAGTTTTTTCACCTAATTTCTTTATTTTAAGCATAAGTTTCACCAAAAAGTCATTAAAATATTATTTCCTGTTCAAGAACATGATCTTTCATGAATTACATAGTCTAATATTTAGAGTCATGTCTCTTTTTATTCACATCTTTATGTTCCCATTATTCTCTCCTTTATGTTAATATCCTCAAAACATGATGGGGGGGTTACATTCAAATGTTTATCATTTTGCTGACTTGTAAATAACTCTTGACATAGAATCTAAATTATTAACCATGTAAAGTGCCATTGTTGAGCTAACTGATTTATCGCGTCAACATAGTAATTAAATCTGACCATTGTTTAGCAGCAAGACAATAGGTATTTTCAATGATAAAAGATAACTGTCAAAAATCTATATTTAACACCTAGGTATCATGTTTAATGACTTGACTCATTGATACACTCACAATACAGCCTGCACTTTCTAGCTATTCTGGAATCCTTTCCAATCTAGGTCACTGAATGTTCTGCGAAAAAACTCGTCAATTTCTAATCAGCCACAATACATTGCTAACTTATGACACTGAGTTAGCAATCTTCAAATTTTGTTTTCTAACATCAGAGAGAACACATGTCACATCATGAGCGCCTTGATGATAAAGTAGTCAGAGCACTGGTGCATGGGATTCGAATCCTGGCTCTTCTACAACATAACATGTGATCTGGGATAAATTACTTCAGCTCTCCAGGTCTCAGACTTAGTTGCTTTGTTTACCAAAATAACAATAGAAGTAAGCACAGAAACTTGTCTATAATGACAGCTCTAGGGCCATCTTGTCTATAATGACAGCTCTACTCATCTGCGTTCCAAGAGATACATTCAAACAATCAGTCTTATTTACAACTTATAATTGTTTTAGTAAAAACAACAAACACAAAATAATGCATGACTAAATGTGAGCATAGTAACATTTTATTAAAATTGATGGAGAATCAGATATTCTTTGAATCTATACATTTTAACATCTAATACAAAATTTAGTTCAAATTAAAAGCAGAAAAATTTTCAGTGGTAGAAGTTATAATTGATAACATTTGATATTATAAAGGAAAAATATTTTAAAAACAGAATTTTACTTGGAAAAGAATCCTAAGTAAAGTAACTTCAGTAAAGTTAGAAATAAAATGGAGAAAAATTGTGCTATATAAAAAAATTGTTCAGAAAATTAGGTAAATTAACATAAAGGAGGGACCTCTACAGGAGAAAAAACTTTCAGTGAAAACTCATCATGTTGAGTATAATTCTGTCCAAAATATCCATGGAGTGAAATTTCTATGTATCTTGATCACTACAACAAAAAGACAGGGTCAAAACATGGTGCACGCCCTTTCAGCAATACTCACCTATCTTCATATTCCCCTTCATTGGACAGGAAATCTTGTAAGATTCACCAGGATATATAACTCAGTTTAGCCAGGGATTTCCCAAACCACACTGGCAAGATTTCTCTGTTTTCATTCTCCTCACTTTACCTCCATACTCTTGTTGAATCCTTCTCTCTCACATTTTCCTCCCAGTAGTTCATGAAATTACTGGTGGATATTTGTATTATGCTTGAGAGTCCCTTGCTTTTCTTCTTCCCTGTCTCCTTGAATGCTTCTAACTTCACTGAGGCCTATTGCAAAGTCACTTACTTGAGTCTATTTAAACTACTCTTCAGTAGGCACAACTCAACACTGGTGAGGTGGCCAACACTGCTTAAACTGCCAGTTCAACACTGCCAAAGCTATCAGTGCCGTCCTGTGCCCTGTCTCACAGTAGTAAATTTTTTTTGTAAACTCTATTATTGCTGTAATATACCCTTCCCTGTTTCTCTTCCCCCACCTGAATAAGAAGAAACTTCCAATATCCAAGGATAGCTTTTGTCTTGTGCTACTCAATTTTCTCTTCCCTTAGGATAAGTTCTTTCCAAGAAACTCCTCAGTCCCTTGTGCACTGGAACCCAGATAAGCTGATTTTATAAGTCATTCAGATACACCTGAATCCAAGGGTGACTATTGCTGAGGTCCAAGCTGGGATTCCTTGCATGATAGACATTCCACATTCTGAAGCACAAAGATGCCACAAGATACAATGATAGACTGTTATATCCCTTGGGTTTATCCTTGTTATTTGACCTCTCTACACTTCTTTTGTCTAGCTAACAACCTTTTCAAACAACCAAAATACTAAGGTAAATATTTTATCATTTAAACAGAAATGGCAAATGCATTTTTGTTATACATTATTGAATGTTAAACTGTACTAATTTTCTATGATATTTTACTATTGTTTTTGATTTTCAAAAAAATTGAACATGGGTATTCAAGACATTTAATAGTTCAAGTTATTTTCTTTCTCTTAAGATAACAAGTATGATTCCAGCTACTGAGAAGAAACTATTAACAGTATATTTAATGATGCTACTACTTAAGAAGTAAATGACCCTCTTTAGCACTAATCTAATATTTCATTCTCCATTGAAACAAAGAGTTCTCTCAAGTTTGAAAGTAAGATCACCACTTTCAAAAACAGTGGGGTGTGGTTGGTAAGACTACATTTTACCATAATGCCACATTTTAGGTCAAGGAGAATCAGTGTAGACTCCAATGTCAACATTGTCTTATAGCATAGAAACACAAAAAATAATTTTAGATGAAATAAAAATCCTTGGGGAAATTTTTTTTTTATTTTTAATTACTTTGTACATATGATGACCTCATATGGAAACAACACAGAAAATAAAAATGAAACAATTCATTTCTAGAATGTCTTTATTTTTAATGAATTTCCAACAAAAAAGAATATCTAGTCCGGTCAAGAGTGTTTTCCAGGCACACCTCAGAGATATTACAGTTCAGTTACAGAATACCACTATAAAGTTAGTTGAAAAAATAGTTTGTTTGCCCAGAACATGGAAAAGTTATGTTTATACTATACTGCAGTCCATTTAGCGTACAATATCATTATGTCTTTTTAAAAAGTGCATACCTTAATTTAAAAATACCTTATTGCTAGTATATGCTAACAATCATCTGAACCTTTAGTGAGTCATAACCTTTTGTTGGTGCAGGATCTTACTTCGATGCTGATGGCTGCTAATTGATCAGGGTAGTGACTGCTGAAGGTTTGGGTGACTGTGGCAATTTCTTAAAGTAAGACAATAAAGTCTGCTGCATCAACTGACTCTTCCTTTCACAAAAAATTTTTCTGTACTATGTGATGCTGTTTGATGGCATTTTACCCACAGTAGAAATTCTTTCAAAATAGGAATAGATTCTCAAATCCTGTTGCTGCTTTATCAACTAAGTCTATGGAATATTATAATTTTTTGTTGTCACTTTTAACAATGTTCACACAGCATCTTCACCAGAGGTATATTCCAACTCAAGAAACCACTTTCTTTGCTCATTTGTAAGAAGCAACTCCCCACACATAAAGTTTTATCATGAAATTGATAACTTCAGTCACATTCAGGCTCCACTTCTAACCTTAGTTCTCTCTCTCTCTCTCTCTCTCTCTCTCTCTCTCTCTCTCTCTCTCTCTCTCTCTCTCTCTCTCTCTCTCTCTCTCTCTCTTTTGGTCACATCTGGAGTGACTTCCTCCACAGAAGACTTGAACCTTTCAAAGTCATCCATGAGGGTTGGAATCTACTACTTCTAAATTCCTGCTACTTTTACCTCCTCATGAGTGTTCTTAATGGTATCTAGAATGGTGAATTCTTTCCAGAAGGTTTTTCAATTCACTTTGCCTGGATCCATCAGAGGAATCAATACCCATGGCAGCTATAGCCTTACAACATGTGTTTCTTAAATAATAAAGCTCAAAAGTCAAAATCATCCCTTTATCTGTAGGCTGTAGAATGGATATTACATTAACAGGCATGAAAACAACATTTATCTCCTTGTACATCGTCATCAAAGTTCTTGAGTTACCAGGTACATTGTCAATGAGCCATAATATTTTGAAATAATTTTTTTTCCTTTGCAGTAGGACTCAACAATGGGCTTAAAATATTTAGCAAACCATGCTGTAAACCGAAGTGCTATCATCCAGGTTTTGTTGTTGCATTTATAAAGCACAGGAAATATAGATTTAGCATAATTCTTAAGGGTCGGAGGATTTCAGAATGGTCACTGAGCACTAGCTTCAACTTAAAGTTACCAGCTGCACTGACCCCTCACAAGAGAATCAGCTTGTCCTTTGAAACTTTAAATCTAGGCATTGACTTCTCTCTAGCTATTAAAGTCCTAGATGGCAACTCCTACCAACAGAAGGCTGTTTCATCTATACTGAGAATCTGTCATTTAGTGTAGCCACCTTCATCGGTGATCTTAGCTAGATCTGGAATAACTTGCTGAAGCTTCTATATCAGCAGCACTTGCTGATTCATCTTGTACTTTTATGATATGGAGATGGCTTCTTTCCTTAAACTTCATGAACCAACCTCTGTTAGCTTCCACCTTTCCTGCTGTCACTTCCTTACCTCATTCGACCTTGATATAACTGAAGAAAGTTAAGGCCTTGCTGTGGAGTAGGCTTTTCTTTTCTTTTTTTTTTAGAGTTGGAGTCTTGTCGCCCAAGTTAGAGTGCAGTGGCACACTCATGGCCACTGCAACCTCGACCTGCTGGCCTCAGACGATCCTTCTACCTCAGCCTTCCAAGTAGCTGGAACTACAGGCATCGCCATCATATCCAACTAATTTTTCTTGATTTATTGTAGAGATGAGGTCTCGAAACCCTGGGCTCAGGCAATCCTCTTGCCTCAGCCTCCCAAAGTGCTAGGATTACAGATGTGAGCCACTCCACAAGGCAAAATAGGTTTTTGCTTAAGGGGATGTTGTGTTTGGTCTTCTATCCAGACTCAAAGTTGCTCCATTTCAACAATAAGGTTGCTTTTCTTTCTTATCATTTTTGTGAGTAGCAATTTTAATTTCCTTCAACAACATTGCTTTTGCATTCACAGTTCGGGTGTTTGGTATGAGAGACCTCACTTTTGGTCTGTCTCAGCTTTTGATATGCCTTCCTCACTAAACTTAATCATTTTTAGGCTTTGATTTAAAGTGAGAGATCTGAAATTTGTCTTTTTACTTGAACACTCAAGAGAGCATTGTAGGGTTATAATTGACCTAATTTCAATAGTGTTGTGTCTCAGTGAATAGAGAGGTACAAAGAGATGGATAAAGATGAGGAAATGACCAGTCAGTGGGTGGAGCAGTCAGAATACACACAGTATTTATCAATGAAGTATTGATTACATCTTATTTGGGCATGTTTCTTGCCCCTCCCAAAACAATTAAACAGTAACATCAAAAATAACTGATCAGCCGGGCTCGGTGGCTCAGCCTGTAATCCCGCACCTTTGGGAGGCTGAGGTGAGTGGATTGCCTGAGCCCGCGGGTTCGAGACCCACCTGGGCAGCGAGACCTCATCTCTACAATAAATCAAAAAATCAGCCGGGCGTGGTAACGCGCGCCTGTAATTTCGGCTACTCGGAAGGCTGAGGCGGAAGGATCGCTGGAGCCCAGCAGGTCGAGGCTGCGGTGGCCGGAAGCGGCCACTGCACTCCAGTCTGGGTGACCCAGTGAGACTCCAACTCAAAAAAAAAAAAAAAAAACAAAAAACTGATCACAAATCACCATAACAGATATTATAAAGTTTTTTAATTGTAAGAATTACCAAAATGTGACACAGACACGCAAAGTGAGCACATACTCTTGGATAAATGGCATTAATAGACTTGCCTGACACAGCGTTGTCACAAACATTCAATTTGTAATAAATAAATAAATGAAGCAATATTTGTGAAGCGTAAGAAAGCAAGGCACACTAAAATAAGGTATGCCTACATAAGTTGGTCTAGCTAAATCACAGAACTATAGCCTAGATCACTATTTTCTGACAAATATTATAGCTATATCTGGGATATTTCAATCAACCCAAATCCACATGGTCTATAGAGCTTAGGAATCTGGGAACACTGGATGGAATATGAGTGGCTTCAATCAGTGATTGTTTTAGACCCCAGACTTAGTCCAAGCAACGAGTGGAAAAAGAAGCTAGAACCAACAAGGTCTTTGCAAAATGCTTATGATAACATGTTTAGGTATAGGTATAAAAGGTTTGTATCTGTTTGAACGTATCATGTGATAACTAACTATAGATCACAGTGTCCTATTCCTTGCTAAACAGTGAAAACTGAGGAAAACAACCAGGACTCTGAGTGATTGTTTACCCTTTCTAGGATTTTTCTAACACGTATTTCAGGGTAGCACACTTTAGTTCTGTTCCCCCCAAGGCATACCCCTATTGCCAAGTATTATTCCCACTTCCCTTTCCAACATGCCTTATCAGTTCCAACAGGATTAGCATTTATCCTAAGGAAGGAGACAAAACCAAAATCACTACAGAATTTAATTTCTGTATACTTTCCAAATAGCACTATTGTTATTTTAATAGGTATTCTGAATCCCTATTTATATTTCTCCTCTCTAAGATTCCACTTTGAAGCAATTGTTCTGCTTCACCTTTAGTACAGATATCTTTGGATATTTATCAACTTTCCTGGTCCTTGCCCCATAGACTTAAGGCATTAAGAATGCCTGCTGCATTTCTGCTTTACTATGTCCATTCATATTCCTGGTTTCCTATTTTTTTTTTTTTTTTTAAGTTGGAGTCTCACTCTGTCGCCCAGACTGGAGTGCAGTGGCCGCTCCCGGCCACCGCAGCCTCGACCTGCTGGGCTCCGGCGATCCTTCTGCCTCAGCCTTCCAAGTAGCCAGAATTACAAGCATGCACTACCATGCCCGGCTGATTTTTTTGATTTATTGTAGAGATGAGGTCTCGCTGCCCAGGCGGGTCTCGAACGCACGGGCTCAGGCAATCCACTCACCTCAGCCTCCCAAAGGCACGGGATTACAGGCTGAGCCACCGAGCCCGGCTGGTTTCCTATTTTTAATACAGCAGGACTAGTTGGGATATGAAACTATGGGGAATTGGCATTTGATGTGCATATTAATTTTTGCCAGAAAACTATTCTTTGCTAGATTTTTATCTTGTTATCAAGAGTTGCACCCAGTAGTCACAGAACAGGAGGAAGTGAATTCATAGTCTGGGTAGGGAATACATATTCTGGTACCTCAACAATATAGAAATCGTCAAAACTCCTGCATGCATACATAGAAAAGTTATATCCAAGTAAGTCAACTGTTAACTGCATTTCTGGTTTAAAAGACTAGATCTGTTTGTTTATTCGACTTTTAAGGAGAAAAGTATTCAAGGTTATGTCTTTGAAACGATGACCTCAAGATTTTCAGTAGTTGTACTTACCCTTTGAAGTTTCTCTAAAATGTTGTAAACCTACAGTTACTTAATTGAGGTCTTCTGAAAAAATACGATTTAATGTATCTGCTCTTATTTTTTTTTTTTTAGGTCAGTCTTGATTCTCGAGTTAGAGAGGTGATCAATAGAAATCTGTTGGATCCTAATCCTCACATGTACGAAGATGCCCAACTTCAGATATATACTTTAATGCACAGAGATTCTTTTCCAAGGTTTTTGAACTCTCAAATTTATAAGGCATTTGTTGAAAGTACTGCTGGCTCTTCTTCTGAATCTTAATTTTTCATTAAAACCATCATTTTGGAGGGCTGGGATGAAAAATAAAAGTAGTTAAATAACATCAGAAACTGAGTTCCTGGAGAACTACAGTTTAGCATTTCTCAGGCTACTGTGAAAATACAACCATTATGGTCTTTGTCTCCATTTTTATCAAGGTTATCCATGGTTAAGTTTGGAGAAAATACCATACACACACACACAAAAAATAAATTGCCAAATTGTTTGTTTTATTCAACACTCATTCTACTTGCAAGCAAACTATATCTGTTGTCCTATGACCAGTCTCCTAGCGTATCTCCAGAGACTGCATGTGCAAAGTAAAACTGCTTCATTTGCCACGTAGTTGTTGTAATATTTAATCCAATAGCATAACTTATATCTGTATTTAAGGACTTTTGTGCAATATGATCTTATAGAAATAATTGCCAAAAATTGGCCGTGGTTTGCATTTTTTTAAACATAATCTAAAACAGAAAGACGATTTTTACAATGTGATAATGGTATTCAACAAGGTGTATACTGTGTTCAGTACATTAATTTTGAGGCCAATATTTCTGTACATGAAAAAAAGAGCTATTTATCTCTGTTTGTTGGAAAATCCTAATGGGGGAGTCCTCTGGTTGTTCACTGCCAAAACTGTGGCATTTTCATTATAGAAGAGTTTGCTATGTTAAAAAAGAAAACAAAAATGAAGAAAAGAAAAAAGCACAATCTGAAAATATCTTAATGACAAATCAAAGAGTGATATTGTTTTTCATTGTAATAGAAGAAAATGAATCTATGTATATATATCAAATGTCCAATACTGTAATTAATTTATTAAAGACTGGCTCTCCAGTTCTGAAATGGTTGTGTAAAGTTATGTACTGCAGCAAAAATAAGGTTGATAACTTAGTTGTGGAACATGAAGAAAAAGATTTAATAAGAGATTGCCTACATGTAGCACTGTTAAACATTTTGATGAATAGCATCTGTCCTGTGGCATATTTTCCTTGAAAGAAAAATTCAATGAAAAGCTAAGTTTTTACTGAGAAAAGTTTAATAAGGATTATGAAGAAGATAATTTTCTACTTTGGACCTTAACTGTTTTCACATTATATCTTAAGAATAACTTATTTTAAAGATGTTGAAACCAAACTAGTACTTCTCATCCATAATTAAAGGGCAGTGCAGTGCTCAAATCTTCTAGCTGCCATATTATTTTTTATAAGTACACCAAATCTTTAAGAAAAAATACTTGCCTGATGTTGTCATGTACATCTGACCTTCAAGAAAACGATATCCTGTCATGCATAAAAGTGATGATGATGATAATAGTAATGTGTCATATTTATATCACAATGTTACATTTGAATATTAATATCCCCTGGAGACTATTTTTTTAATCTTAAACTGAATGAGTATAATACTGAGTAACCTAAAATGGAAGTTTTAAAAAGATTTATATCCACTGAGAACACTGGCCTTATATTAAGGATGATATTAAAATTATAGGTTTTCTTTGTCATTTTTTTTAACTACCTCTCATTTTTTAATTTATTAAACATGTTTTTTAAAAAACAAATTTGGGGTTTTCTTTTTACATTTATTTTACTTAAAAGGATGGCATCGCAAGTTTCTTTTTCCATAAGCTTAAAACATTTCAAGAATTTTTTTAAGTGAATATGATTTTCTAATTTATATAGACTTCAGGAGACATGTTAAAAGGGCTATTATCTATTCCCTATGCAAATATTTTAACTGTTGCAGTGTTTGACAAAATGGGATTTAAAAAATTGCAAAGTAGAAAGCAAAATATTCTGTTTACACTGGCGTTGCTGACTATCCTACCATATTCAGCACTTTTAAATACATTATTTATGAAAATGTAGTTAAAATGCAAAATAGAAAATATTTATAATAATTTCTTTTAACAAATGTTTGTTTTTTTTGAAAGTGTTAGTATGTTAAAACATATTTTATCCATGTCACTTAGATATTTACTATTTGAATAATAGTTTTCAGTAATATGTTGAAAAAGATAGCTATGAAGATGTTTACAAAAACTCTTATTTTTTTCCTAAAGAGTAAAGACAAAACTAAAAGAAACATCACTTCTATTGTGAAGTTCTATTGTTCCTAAATTATTTAATTTTTTTCTTGATTAAAACTGAGTTTATTATGCTACTATGATGTATACACATATATGGTATAGTATCATACTTGTTTCTGTGTTTGAAGTACAATAAATTGGTGCACATGACTAGAAGATATGTATTATACTATGATACACTGCATGCATCAATCTTTTTAAATGTAGACTTTATATTCTTGTTGTTACTATATATGATGGTGACCTGCTAGTCATAAGTTATCTTTATAAGATACTTTGGACTATTAGATGAATTGTCTCTTTGACAATACCTTTAACATTTTACCAAATGTAAAAGATAAGGGCCCTTATAAAGAGTCCTAGTCTCTAAACTGGGCATTTGTAGAACACAAATTTTAAAGTTGGTATATCCTTTTGAAACCTGATTAGGAAGTTGTGTTGAGAAAGATTCTGGAACAGATTTACACATCAGATGTAGTAACCATGTTATGTGAGCATTTCTGTGCTTAAATCATATTTTTGGAGTAGGGGAGGGTTTCTCATTTAAAAATGTGTCTGTATATTCTTGCAGTGCTACCAATTTTTAAAGTATGGTATAATTCCTTCTGTTTAAATTACATAGCTATAATAAACAAAAAGTCCTCAACTGGTGTCTATGCTACCATTCCAAGAGCACAATATTTGTTTTAGTAGAATTAGATTTTTCCCTAGTGAGTAAATTTCTTCCTGGGGAAAAATCAGCACTTTAAAAGAAACACTCTGTATTTTAGTTTGCCAAGATATCTTTGTATGTTGTTAGAATTTGCCAATGCACGCAGAAATAGGTTAATGCACTTTCTATAGTGCTTAACTTCAGACATATCTATAATACAAAGAAAAGCAGAGGATATAGCGTATGCATATATAAATAAATTGGAGAGCCAGTTCTCTTCAGAGATTGATCAAGTACATAAATCACACCAATAATAGATGGGTGACATTTCTTTACTCTGGTTGTTATGTTACCCAAAGGTAGTTTAGGTGTTCTGACAGTGTTACAGAGTGCATACGAACAAGAGCAAAACACAATTGTGATACTGGAGTTATGAAATACAAAAGACTATAATGTGATTTTTTTTTGAAATCTTAAAAATATGTACATAGAATGATATTTGGTTATGGTGCATGGAGTGTTTATTAGTATCCTTTGATGCTGCCTAGGTTCTGACTTATGAATAAATTTGTATTGTTTATTTACCTGGTAGTTCAGTTTTGCAAAGAGACTATAGAAATAGGTAAATAATAATTATTTTTAGAGGCAAAAATACATTTTCATCCCATTAATATTATTTAAAATAATATCAGATACTTAATTTTTACTTTACCCATTTTTTCTACACTTTCAACTTCTACTGAAAAAAAATCATATTATAATTGCAACAAATTACACTTGCAAAAAATACCAATAATCAGATGCTTTGGTAGAGAAGTGTAAAGGGAAGAAATATACAATCAGAAAATTGAAAAATATAATCCTTTTTTGGAAACCACCTAACATTTCTTAAAGAGATAGAAAATGTCTATAGTTAGAATCCTATTAAACATGTATTTTGAATACTTTGAGCTTGATTCATTGGCAAATTATTTTGAAAGGTGGTAAAGATATTTCCAGAAAATATTCTTGCCCATCTATTTACATTGACAGTTTATGACCCAAATTTTCAGTTATTGTTCATATACTTATATTTTAGTGTTTTCAATTTTTAAATGTCTGACCAATATAAAATGTTTGTTTTCCTGAGAAAACAGTATTCAATCTGTAAAATTTTAGTAATTCTCCACTTGTACAATTGCAAATATTTATCAATAAAATTGATACCAAAAACTTGCTTCAGATTATCTCTGCAACATTTACAATATCCTTGCAATGCACAACAGTGCACAGAGTGATAAGTATTGTTTACAAATACCAGACTTTGATTTTATTGTAAGTATTTTTATAATTATTACTCTTACAGTTATAGTCCTCTCCAACCCCAAGTGACATCTTTTCAGATGAATTCAAAGGGATATCAAGAATTTGACTATCAAAGGCAATTTACTGCCCTGACTGATAACAGGTCCCAGTTTGGGAGTTAAATTTATTCCGATGATCAAAGCTCTAATGAGTAGGGAAAAAGAAACCCTATTAAGCACTGATGACCACAACCACGAGTAATATTTTAATATGTCATATTAATATCCTATCAATGTGAAATTAATTCTTCCCTCATTACTTCTCATATTGTCTCTTTACTGTTTCAGAAATTTCAGAATTTTAAAACTGTTGACTTATACCTAACTGCTTTTCACAACATTGCAGCTTTCAAATAGAAATATTTTAGAATTGTTAAACAGATTGTGTTTCTGTCTTAGGGTTAAATGCATTTCCTTTCTAAAGCTCTAGCTTTTATTGCTGTATTAAAAGGATGTCACATACAATGCTTACTCATGAAAATGTATGTCTGCAAATTCACTTATGGAGTATAGTGTGAAAACATTAGGAACTTATACAAATTTGATTTCAAGTTACATATGTGTCTCATGTGACTTTGGGCAAATCATTTATCTTCTAAGTCCATCTCCTCATCTGTAAACAAGGAATATTATCCTTAATCATCAGGATGGCCATAAGCATCAAACAAACATGGAAAGAATAAAATGGAACACATAACATTATTTATTGAAGTTCATCAGCTCAATAATTGCTTTTATAGGGGATTGTCTGTATTGTCATTTTAATGTACTTTCCCCCTATTTTTTCAAAATGTACCTTTAAAATGCGATTTAATTATTTCATTAAAATACAATCTTATTTTGAGATAGAGAATATCTATGCTATTGTTTTATTCAATAATGTAATTCAGTCACTATTTTCAGTTCACCAACATCATATCAAATCTATAGAAACGTTTCTTTCAATGACACACATACACTTAGATATAACTGTAGGTTAAAATTAAGTTTAAATAAGATAAATCACTGAAAATTTTATTTCCAAAGGAAAACATTGCCAAACATAGGAATAGTATAAATATCAAGTCATTTTCCAAATATATAAATGGATGACAGGGCTAAAACTGTGTTATAAGAAACTGACCATTATAAAACATCATTTTTAATATTAAGGTAGTATTCTTTAACAGTGTACCATGAAAATAAAAAAGTTGATAAAAGATGGTAATGTTTTCATAAAATCTTTCATTAAACCTTTTACTTTTGAATAGTTTTAGATTTACAGAAAAACTGTACATTTAGTACTGAGAGGTCCCATATACTTCCATGGGACATTTGTCAAAATTAATGAACCAATATTGATTCATTAAGTCCATACTTTATTCAGATTTCCTTAGTTTTTACTTAATGTCCTTTTTCTGTCTCTAAAGCCCATTCAGATTACCTCATTACATTTAGTAGTCATGTCTCCTTAGGCTCCTCTTAGCTGTGAGTTTCTCAGGCTTTGTTTTTGATGACTTTAACAGTTTTGAGGAGTACCGGTCTGGCAGTTTGTAGAATGTTTCTCTGTAGGGATTTGTCTGATGTTTTTTTCTCATGATTAGACAAGGCTCTTTGCTTTTGGAGAGATAAAGTACCATTCTTATCACAAGATATCAAAGGTACATGCTATCATCATGACTCCTCTTACATATTGATATTAACCTTGAAACACCTGGCTAAAGCAGTGTTTGTTAATGTTGACCAGCTAGCTGAGGGAATGCCTGTTGATGCTGACCCTTAGTCACCTGGTCTGAGGTAGCATCTTTTAGATTTCTCCATAATAAGGAAATTTTTTTTTTTTTTTTTTTTAAGAGATGGGGTCTTGATATGTTGCCCAGGCTGGAGTGCAGTGGTGTGATCAAAGCTCACTGCAGTTTGAACTACTAGGCTCAATCTATCTTCCCCCAGCCTCTCAAGCAGCTGAGACTAAAGGTTCATACCAACACACCCAGATATATTTATTTTTATTATTTTAGAGACAGAATCTTACTATGTTGTCCATGCTGGTCTTGAACTCCTGGTCTGAAGCAATCTTCCCACCTCAGCCCCCCAAAGTGCTGGGATTATAGGCAGGCATGAGTCACTGTACCTGGTCTAGTAATACATTTTTAAAAGAGATTATATTGAAAGTAAAATTTCTGATCATTTACACTGAGCAAAAATAAATTATTAGCAGATTCCTCAACACTAATATTATGTTTCATTAAATAATTAACAAATAGTATGAATATACAATACACTGGAAAGTGAAATTGAAAAATAAAATGCCAAAAGTCTTACCTTGAATAGTCACTTAATAGAGGTGAAAATTATTTTTTTTCCTCTTGAACTACCTGAATAATTCCCTTGATCTTCCACATACTTTGGGTATTAAAGATCTTAGTCTTACTGTCATATGAGGTAACACAAATCGATAACCATTTTGCTTTGTGCTTTTCTTTATTGTCCTCCATTGAACAATGAACACTGACTACTGGAATAATGTAAAAGACTTGATATTTCTCTCCTGGCTTTAACCTATTTGTCAAATATTCAGTGTTTCTTATATATGATTTTAAAATGTTTACTAGGTGTTGCAAATAATTTGATTGTGTTTGGTTCCATAAAATTTATTATATTGAACATGTACAATTTTTTACTACTATGCTCATTGTACTTAATAATCTATATCCATAAACCAGACTCCACCCATATTTGTTAGTGGACTATAAAGAAGTTTTGAATGCATGAATACAACTTAAAAGGCACCATGCTTGGTTACTGTCAGAGTAACTGTAGGTACCCATAAATTGAATAGATAATTCAGAGTATGTTTCCTCCAAATTAAGTTTTTGTTGATTTTTATTTCCCCTTCTTTGAATCAGTTTTACCTTTTTAACTATGTACAATAATACACTTTCTGAAAATACTAGAATTTTCACATGTAATAGAATTTGAGCATGACAATAATGTAAGAAAATTCAGAAGTTCAAACTAGGTACTTTTTTTAGTTTTCCAAGTAAATCAAACTACAGCTGTTTTCATTTTACTATATTGTGGAAACCTATGGATATTGTAAAATGCATATGCATTACATTGACTTTCTTAAAATGTTTTGAATTAATAAAGAATTCACCAATGTATCCTTAGACAAGTCACTATTTCCTCATTGATGTAACACTATAGGAATAAAAGGTACACTTATGTGTTACTTAAATTCCTTATGCATCTGAGGGAAAATAATAAATTTTGGCTAGATTCTTTACATTGTTCTCTAAGGCCCATTGTTTATTACAATTTTTCACCTTTTATAAATAATAAACTATATTATTGAAATGATTTACGTTTTGAGAATTCGGCTGAGAGATTTATCATGTTAAATTCAAATGACTCCCACCATTGCTATGGTTTAAAAAAATGCAAAGTTGAGTTTAGACTTGGGAAATAACTATAACTAATAGAGATACAAACAGCCTGACCACTGCTGTTCTATACTCAGATGAGAAGTAAAGTAAAATGGGTTTTAAGCACTTACACCAATCATACAGCAAAAAGTTGTATAAGGTAGTGTAGCTTGAATACACAAAGTGAAACGAAGAACTGAAAGAATTGGTTTTAAGTGACCCAACTATTTTTGCTTTCTATTATTTGGAGAGTCAGTTTATTCTTCCACTTCACTCTGCATTTGTATGTAGTATTAAGTGATTAAATAGAGGCAATGCAAACTCATTTTTTGTTTTTTGAGTTGGGGTCTCACTCTGTCACCCAGGCTGGAGTGCAGAGGCACGCAAGCTCACGGCCTCTCCAGCATGGACCTGCTGGGCTCAGCCATCCTGCCGCCTCAGCCTTCCAAGTAGCCAGAACTACAAGTGTGTGCTAGCTACCACGTCCAGCTAATTTTTGGTTTATTGTAGAGACGAGGACTCACCAAGTTGCCCAGACTGGTCTCGAACCTGAGGGCTCAGGCAATCCACCTGCCTAGGCCTCTCAAAGTGCTGGGATTACAGGCTGAGCCACCGAGCCTGGCTGCAAACTCATTTTCTAAGAATTTTATATTTCACCTCAATAGTTTTGATGAGCAAGGATGTTGTAATCTTGATAAGAGCTCCCATTTTTTTTTTTTGTCATTTGATTTTAAAAGATTAAATTAGAAGCTGTACTGAAAGAGGTAATTTATTACAACAGTGAAACACCACTTAGGAGACCCTGACCAAGCCAGTTAGATAGTGATAGTTCCTAGAAGCAGTGGTCAGTCTTGTATTATCAAGTTGTCTTGGTGTATTTATTTTCTGGTGAGCTGTGAATAGGTCCTTTGAAGACTGCAAAGCACTACACCAACAAACTACAGTATTCCTGGTATCTGTTCCCTATTTGCAGTTTTTTGGGAAGGGACGGGGAAGGGCTTTTGAAGGCGGGTCTATGAAGGCTTCGTTGTGATGTAATTCATTGTCACACGGATTCAGCCTCTTTAAAAAGTAGCTGGCTAGACGGGCTCGGTGGCTCAGCCTGTAATCCCGCGCCTTTGGGAGACTGAGGTGAGTGGATTACCTGAGCCCGCGGGTTCGAAACCCGCCTGGGCAGGCGAGACCTCATCTCTACAATTAATCAAAAAAATTAGCCGGGCGTGGTAGCGCGCACCTGTAGTTCCGGCTACTTGGAAGGCTGAGGCGGAAGGATCGCTGGAGCCCAGCAGGTCGAGGCTGCGGTGGCCGGGAGCGGTCACTGCACTCCAGTCTGGGCGACAGAGTCTGACTCCAAATAGATAGATTAGATAGATAGATAGATAGATAGATAGATAAAAAGTAGCTGGCCAGGAATCTCTGACTAGGAGTAAGCAGGAATGAAAAACAGGTGAGGAAGAGCGGTCACTGCACTCCAGTCTGGGCGACAGAGTCTGACTCCAAATAGATAGATAGATAGATAATAAAAAGTAGCTGGCCAGGAATCTCTGACTAGGAGTAAGCAGGAATGAAAAACAGGTGAGGAAGAAAGTCGTCTGAAAGCAAGTAAATTGAGTAGCATATGAAGGACAGGTTAGATTTTCCAAATTCATTTGGTGGTTATCTTAGAGCACGCTTGTCATGTCCTCATTCACACGAACCTGATTCATCGTCGAAAACAGAAACATGAGCAAGAATAAAGCAAGAGTGAACACACACACACACACACACACACACAGATGACCATCTCAAAATTCGCTTTTGGAGACCAATGGCCAGGCTGGTCCTGGGGACAGACTTCCGTGGCTGTGGTCCCATCTCCGGCGGCGGACTCGGCCCTGCTCTCTGCTGCGGCTCTGGAAGCCTCCTTTCCCCCATAGACACTGGGCAACAAATCCTCGCCGTCAGAATAGACTGGCACCTCGCAACCTTACACTTCCGGACCAACACGCCTCCGGGGCACGAGCTAAGAGGGAATTAGAGGAGATGCCCGAGGTCTCGGGGACCGCCCTGCAGACCAGCTGAAACTCCACCTCTTCCTCTCCCTCACAGCTCTCCGCTCTGCTCCCCAGCTTTTGGTCACATGAATTTCACCGCGTTCCTACGCTCGGGCGGAAGTGCCCGCCAGGGTTTCCGGGAGGCCGGGCACAACTGAGGTGTACACTGGGCGGGGCGTAGTCAGTTCTCGACCCTATTTCCTGCTGTGTAGTATCACGTGACCTGCTCTGCCCAGAACTTCCGGTTCTGCTCAAGTTTTGGGCGCTGGACTTTAGCGATGCGGTCCCGACTTCTTTGGGGCGCTGCTCGGTGTCTCTGGGCCCTCGGAGCTACTGGTCCGGCCCGCCGGCCCCTAAGCTGCGATACCCCGCCGCTGGAGGAGCTCTTCGCCCGGGACGGGTCCTTGCGGACTTTCCTCGAGCGCCAGGCGGGGTCTGGAGCCCTGGTCAGCAGGCCCCAGTTGGCGTCGGCGGCCAAGCTGCTGAGTGAGAAGGAGGGGGAGCTGCGGGAGATCGAGCACTTGCTGCGCGGTAAGGGCACGGCCAGGGAGAGGCGTCGGAGCACGTTCTCGACTCTTCGTTTGCCTTTTCTACGATGTCACTGGCCAGGTGCCCACACTTTACCCGAGCTTGACACTGCTCACTTGCAGACGTTTTTGTTTTGGATCAAAGGTCAAGACATGCATGCCTTCTGACGCCATCCTTCCCCGAGAGCTCTTGTACTCCCTTGCCGCTGTGTTCCGCCCGTTTGTACGCGTTTATTAGTCGCATCTTTTCCGGCGGGAGCTTCTTAGCTAAGGACAAGTAAGGCACTGGCTCTGTGATGAGCTCCAGAGCCGTGTTCTCAACATAGGGTGTGGAGACCGTCTTCAATAGTATCAGGAGTGGTGCTTGTCAAGCCAGACTTAGGACTCAGAATCTGAGACCTTGGCATGATAAGCATCTTTAACAAGTTTCCCAGGTGTTTCGCGTATATTGGGCTCTGGAATGGGGCTTAAAGTGTCTGCATTGCTACAAGCTCCCAGGCAGGCGGAGCTGCAGGTCCATTGTCCACTTTACTGGTCCCTTACTATGCCCCAGCATTTGCTTAGTTAGACACTACTAATTACCAAAAAATTATGGAACTGGCTTTTAGGAGCTTACGGCTTAGTAAAGGAGTTGTCTGATAATTAAGTAAAATTATGAGTGAATGTTTAGCCTGTTCAATAAAGACCAGGGTGTTTTTTTTTTTAAAGGCCGAAATTTAAACGGGGCTTGAAGAGTAGGCAGGAGGTTGTCAGATGGTGCAGGAGAAGGGAATTGAAGGCAGAGGTGACCAGCAAGAGTAAAGGTACCAAATTGGGAAGTTACAATATGGCAGGAGCAAAAAACAGGTGTGGGAGATAATGTAATCAAAACTTGAAATGAGAAAGAACTTTACATCACAAAGAATTTCTATTTGTTTCTATAAACCATGGGAAATTAGCATGTTTTCAACCAAGAAGTGACATCTTTGGAAAGAAATTAATGTTGGCATCAGTGTTGAATTGGCTGAAAGCCAAGGGAGGAAGCTGCTGAGACAGTCCGAGGGAGAGGTGATGATAGGTATAGGTCTGACTCAAAAAACATTCGGAGCCAGGATTTGGTGGCTTATCCCGGAGAAGGATGAACAGAGAATGAATTCTAAGAAAAGTCTTAGGGTTCTGGCTTTAGGACATGATTGTACTGCTAATTAAGATGAAAATATAAACGTTGAATCGAATTTAGGGGAAAAAATAAGTTTTGCGTTGAATGGCCATATTAGGTTAAGAATACCCATGAGAAGGACATTCACATAAAGACACCCGTAATAATCTAAGAGAAAACACTACTGGCATAGGAGAAAAATTGAGCTTAAATAATCATGTGAGATTTGTACATGATCAACGTTACAAGTAGATGAGAATACTAGGGGAAAAAGATAGGAAAAGTCTAACAAGGCCAGAAACGCATACTATTTCAGGAGCAGGAAGAGGAGAAAGCTAAATAGATCAAGAAAGAACCAGTAGTGCTTTAGGACCTAGCAGATTAATAAATGAAGCTGTAAAAACAAAATTTCAAGAAGCAAGAAATGGTCAGTACCTGACTTATAAGAGATAAAGCTCACCTTTTCAGCTCACAGCGAAATAAGTCTTTAGGTTTGGCAATTTTGTCTCTGGTGATTTAAAAAACAAATAGTTTTAATGTGATTATTAAATCCAGCCTGAAAAGTAAATTAGAGTTAACAGACAAGAAATAATAAATATTTCATTTTATTTCCAGAAAGCTGCATGAGAAAAAAGTGGGTGACAACAAGCAGTTACTTCAAGGGTTGGAAACAAAAGGACCCTTTTAGAATAAGGAAACCTTAAACATCTTTGTATCTTTGTTAACAGAGAGAAAGAGTAGGCAGGCACGTGGTTGGTGCCCAATAAATATATGTTGATTTATGATACTGAAAGAGGACGTAAAGAACTAGTGTTATTACCACTGCCTATGAATAGAGCTGCACTATCCAGCACAGGAGCCAGTAGCCACACATGGCTCTTGAGCATTTTTATGTGGCTAGTCTGAATTGAGATGTGCTGTAAGTGTAAAGCACACAGATTTCAGACTTGGTATAAAAAATAATATTTTATGTTAATTACATGTTGATAATATATTGGGTATACTGGGTTAAATAAAATGTAATATTAAAATTAAATTACTTCTAGATCTAGACATTATTTCCAGTCTCCTTAGCCTTGCAGAAATGAAAGGCACCCTAGAGGTCATCCATCTCAGAACTTCCATTTAACTCTTGACATAATTGAAACTCAGAGAAGTTGAGTGTGTTGCCCTAAGAACATCTTAGCGATTGAGCTAGGGATATAATTCATTTTTCTTTTAAAATTCAGCACATTTCCCATTTTACCAAATCTCCTCCAAACCATACACTTGCCAAAATAATTTTCACCAATGCTTCCTATACTTGCCTATCTCAATTTTGCTGTTGTCATTTACTGTCCTTGAGTTAATCTTACTTTCCTTGTTCTGTCCATCCCCAAAACAAATTCCTTCAAGGTACTATTGTTTTAATATTTAATCATATGGTGCTTTAAGTTATTTGTTGTGAAGTTTTCTACTCTAGAAAAAATATTAAGTAACTAAAATTATCTATAATGCTGCCTTGAGGGTAGGTCTTATATATGTATTATCCCCAATTCTCAGCATGGTTAGTTCTTAATAGATAAGAAGGCAAACTTCATAAGAGTTTGAACTCAACAGAGAACAATTTGTAATAACTAAAAAATTTCCTCTCCTTCCTCTTCTGTATAGCTGCACATTGTCCATAAGGTAGAGGAATGAGAAGTATATTTATAAGGTAAACATCAGAACTCAAAGATGAAACATGAGTAGGGGTAAAGCCAGAGAGAGAGAATTTCATGGAAACATTCTGTAAACAATTAGGCAAAGTCTAATAAATTGGTTGGAGACTTGTTTTATACTAATGAAACATTTACTTATAAGATGATAAGTTTCTACTTTTTAATTCAGTTTTGGCTAACTGGTGAAACTTTCTGGCTTTTTAACTAGCTCAATGCGTTTGTTATTATACAGCCTAAGTTGGGAAACTAAAAGCATCTTTATCTATGTGACTATTTTATGGAGGTGAAATTATAGAAAAGTTTTGCTATAAAAAATTTTATATTTTTCTATAGAGACCTTTTTTACTTTTAGTTTTACTTGTACTTTATTTTATGATCAGAAAAAAATGTTTTATACCTGCATGCTTATGAAGACAAATGTTTAAAATACTACTATTAATTAATGGCATTTCTTTAAAGGGCATTTATTTTTCCCTTCAACTATGCTAACAATAAACCTAAACCTGTCAATTTAACACTAATTAAGATAAACCTCACTGCTGCCTTTTTTTCTTAGATGAGAATGAAGACTTACAGAAACTTGCAGAGAATGAAATAGCTTTGTGTCAAAAAGAAATAACTCAGTTGAAGCAACAGGTATGATATTTTTGCAAAAAATAAAGCATTAGTGCTGTGACACATTTTATTGGAGGCTTATAAAAAAATTCAAGAAGAAAATAGATTGTTACTATTTAGAATAAAATACTTTTTTAAGAATTATTATTTTCCAGCTTTATGTAAGTATAATTGACAAATACATATCAGTAATGTGAGGTTATAGGTATATAATGTGTATAAGGTATATAGTGAGGTATTTTGATATATGCACAGTTTGAAATGATTACCATTATTAAACTGGCTTTTAAAGCAGAAAAAGATCAACTATATGTAATCCTGATTTTATCATACTAAAAGGATTGTAAGGCTGTCACAGAAAGGTGAATGCCACATTGATAGCATTTTTTTTAAAGGCAGTGAAATATTGGCATATCTCCCTTGGTTTTTTTAAGGGGATAGAGGTAACACTAGGTAGAGGACATTATGTGAAGGAACTTAAAAGTTCATGAAAAAATGACATTAAAATTTTTTTTAAATGCATAAACTAATTTCTTGACATGAGCTCCATCAAGTTCAAGACACTACTGTATAATCAATGATAACCAGCATTTAGTCTATCCCTAAAGAACTTAGAGTCCTGGGAACTTAACCATGTCAATGATGTGGTGTTTTACATTATTAACCAAAGAAAAATGGGTGCCCTTTACAGATATTTTTAAGATTAGAAACCCAATTTTAAAAAAAGAAGGAACCAAATCAGGACTAAGTGGATATTTCCCTTGTTTGATGAGAGGAATAAGCAGGAATGTTGTCATGGTGGAGAAGGGCTCTCTGATGAAGCTATCTTAGGCATTTTTCTGCTAAAGCTTTAGCTAACTTTTTCAAAACTCTTCTCAGAATAAGCAGGTGTTACCATTCTTGGTCCTTGCTGAACAACAACAAGAAAATAGTCTTAAGCAGCCCAAAAAACTGTTACCATAACTTTTGCTGTTGATTGGTGTGCTTTTGCTTTGACTAGACCACGTCCATCTCTGGATAGCCATTGGTTTAATTGTGTTTTGTTTTCAGGATCATACTAATAAAGTCATCTTTCATATTCTGTTACAATTCTTCGAGGAAATGTTTGCTTACCTCTAGTTTTTCAGCCAGAATTGTGTAACCTGAACTAGTTGAGATGTCTATGGTGTGCTATTGTTTCTGCTATTAATTGTTGGTCCTCTTCTGTTAGGGCACAAACAAGATGAATTTTTCCTTGCAAATTGATTTGAATGGTCTGCCACTGCAGTCTTCATCTTTGTCATCTTGTCCCTTTTTGTTTTGTTTTTTTGAGTAGAAGTCTCACTCTGTCTTCCAGGCTGGAGTGCAATGGCACACTCACGGCCACTGCAGCCTCCACTTGCTGCACTCAGGTGATCCTTCCGCCTCAGCCTTCCAAGTAGCTGGAACTACAGGCACCAGGCATGCACCTCTATGCCTGGACAATTTCTTGATTTGTTGTAAAGACAAGGTCTCACCAAGTTGCCCAGAGTGGTCTCAAACCCCTAGGCTCAGCAGTCTTCTAACCTCTGCCTCCTAAAGTGCTGGGATTACAGGCGTGAGCCACTGTGCCCAAACTGCTGATTTCTTTGTGTCATTGTCTCCATAAATGTTTCATAAAGCACCAGTGATTTCACCATTCTTTCACCCAAGCTTAATCATCAATTTGATGTTTGTTCTTCAATTTTAACAGAATTCATGTTGCTCTAGTAGGAGCTCTTTTCAAACTGGTGTCTTATCCTAGTTCGTCAAACTAGATCCTATTCAGAAATATTATAACAAGTTAGATTATATATTTTGGTGCAAAAAAAATTGAAATCTAATTTCTTGAAGTGCTTTCGTAGAATGATGGTAGATTGTGAGCTCCTCAGAGTCAGGAATGTTTACTTTGTGTCTCTGGCACTATAAGAATGCCAAACCTAGCCGGGCTCAGTGGCTTAGCCTGTAATCCCGCACCTTTGGGAGGCTGAGGTGAGTGGACTGCCTGAACCCGTGGGTTCAAGACCCGCCTGGGCAACTTGGCGAGACCTCATCTCTACAATAATTTTTTTTAAATTAGCTGAGCGTGGTAGCGTGCACCTGTAGTTCAAGCTACTTGGAAGGCTGAGGCAGAAGGATCGCCGGAGCCCAGCAGGTCGAGGCTGTGGTGGCCGGGAGTGGCCACTGCACTCCAGTCTGGGCAACAGAGTGAGACTCCAACTCAAAAAAAAAAAGAATGCCAAACCTAGACTAGGTCCTCAAGATTTTAAGAACTAAATTATTTTGCTTTTATTTTACATCCAAAAGAATTGCATACATATAGGAGTCAGATGAAGAATAATCATTATATTAATTTAAAAGCACTGCTAATAATGTAAAGCAGAGCTTAAAGGTTCATAGCAGTTATCTCTGGGGATAATAAGTGAAAGAAATTTTAGATGAGGAGGAAACCAGCAAAAAGGGTGCTTAATTTTGAGATTCTGCCTCATCTTCAGCCACATGTGAAACTTATTGAAAATTAATGTCCCAATAATCTACTTTAGAGGAAGAGTTTCACTATAGGGTGAAAACTATAGTGTAGCTTGCCTTTTACTCATTTTCTATTTTTTGGGGGGTGGGGTAATTAGAAGGATATGTATATTTAAAGGTTTCTTTCTAGTGGCTAGGAATCAACAAACAGAAATAAAGTCTATTATTTTTTACTTCAAGATCTGAATGATATTTTATTGGCGTAGGCTAGAGAAATGGAAAAGTAGTGATAAGTATAGCTTCTAACCCTTAGGTGTATGATAGTTCAGAACTTAGGTATGCTTAGGTTCAATTCTAGCTCTTCATGTACTTTCTAGTCATATAATGTTGGGCAACTAGATTACTCAGCCCCTCTAAACTTAGTTGAATATCTTAAGGTAGAACTGTTAATAGGGTCTACCCAAGATTGTTAAAGAATTAAAGCATATATATACACACAGTGCTTAGCAAAATGCCTGCCATTTATTAAAAGTACCAGTAAATGTTGTCACCTTTTCTTATTAACTGACCTGATCTAAAAAAAGCTTTATCCTAGATCCCCTTTATTAGTACATACTTATGTGTGAAAAAATATACTATTGTAAAAGAAGGAAGACTGACCTGGCACAGAGGTCTTGTGCCTGCTTAGCCAGTAACTGACACTTTGACCTTTATCAAATCATTTATCCTCTGTTAACCTCAGTTTTCTTCACATGTGAAGTAATTGGACCAGGTCATGTCTAAGAACCTAAAGTTTCTTTTCTATAATAAGAAATTGTTATCAAAGAAATCTATAATAAGAAATAATTTTTAAAAATACAAAAGCAATTTGACTGCATTTGTTTTTCTCTCATACTGGACCTTAAGTTTACTGAGGATAGAGCTAGAATCTTCTTTCGCATTCTACATACAGTATAATGTCCTACACATAGCAAGCACTTAGTTCTTTTTAACTGAACAGAGAACTGATATAAAACAAAAGAGCTATAAGAGGTAATAAACAAGCCTGTAAATTTTAGCTACATTTTACAGCATTCATAATATAGTTATGACTTGAATACTCTATAGAAGTTATATATTACACAGTTCTAATTGGCAAGATTCTTGGACAGTACTTGGCAGTATTACTTGCTTGGGGAAACTTAAGTCCAACATTTAAAATTCCTGAATCTAATAATTTAGCTTTGTTTTGGGTAAGTTTTAATAATTCTTAATTATAGGAGGGGTAATATTTTTATATTTACAGATTATCTTACTTTTGGTTCCCTCAGAAGAAACAGATGAAAATGATTTGATCCTGGAGGTAACTGCTGGAGTTGGGGGTCAGGAGGCAATGTTGTTTACTTCAGAGATATTTGATATGTATCAACAATATGCGGCATTTAAAAGATGGCATTTTGAAACCCTAGAATATTTTCCAAGTGAAATAGGTCAGTAAATTGTTTAATTTGTTTTGGGTTAAATGTAGATTTAGTCAGTCTATATGTATCTTAGGAAAAGGGTTGAAAAGACCATGACTAGGATTTAGAACATATTTGTTTATATAGTTTGATGCCCATCGTTTATCTAATAAATTTGAATGCAAATATCAATTTTGAAATAGCCTGTAAAATGTAATAGATAATTATTTAGTAACATTAACCAATGAATTGCTAATGATTTTTAAAAGTGGTCTTTTACATGTGTTATTGATGTCAGTTCATTAGCCTCATAAGTACTTTAATAATTGGAAGCAGTAAAAGTATTAAAACACTGAATATCTTAATATGTTTTATAGTCTGTGCTTATATCCTTTTGTTCCTTTTAAAAACGTATTTCAAGTTAGTAGATGTGGTAGTCAATTATTTATAAATGACAGGAATAATGAAAATAATTGTTTCCCAACATTTTTTCAAGGTGGCCTTAGACATGCAACTGCCAGCATTGGAGGTTCAGAAGCCTATAAGCACATGAAATTTGAAGGAGGTGTGCACAGAGTGCAAAGAGTGCCAAAGACAGAGAAGCAAGGCCGCATCCATACCAGCACCATGACTGTAGCAATATTACCCCAGCCTACTGAGGTAAGGGATATGCCCCTCTTCTTGGAATCCTGTCCCTATCATAGTGCCTTGCCCCCAGAGTAACACTCAGAGGTTACTGAATTAAGTATCTCCTTTTCTTCTCATTTCGTGTTCCTCATTTATTTTGAGGTTTTTTTTTTAAAGAATCTATTATCTCAGTCCAAAAACTATACAGTAGATGGTAAGAATTATGAATTTATAAGTGTACAATCTTACATCGTATTTTAATTTTTTCCAGTAACACAGTCATTGTGAAACAATCTCTGTATTAATAACCCATTTAAATACAGACTGATTGTCTTTACAATATGTTGCTTTGACTGGTTCCTAGGGTATTAATAGCAAGAATGCTGTTGTAACAAGGGTAACTAACAGAATTGCTACTTCATAACCAATGACATCAATGGAAATACATTGCTACAGTGTTCATAATGAGTATACTTTATTCTCACAAAGCAAATTCACCATCTTTATTTTCAAGATAACATAGTTTAGAAGTTCTGTTTTGCTTAATTTCCCTTCTGGAAAGTGATACAAAATACTTGTTTTTCAGAATTAAATATGAATGCTTTGAGAGAAAGTTTGAATGTTTCTATATTAATTTTGGGAAAAGGTGCTGTTTGACTTTCTGTAATAGGGTTAGTGGAGTTCCTTTCTTTAGGTCTTAGTAATTTCTTTAGATCTAATTTTTGTGTGAAATCTAGCTGATAAACTAAACAGTTTTGGAGAGCATAAAGTAGAATAGGTGGTGGGAGCCATGCCTAGGTACTATTCACTTTGGTTTAAGCAACTTGGAGGTTGAAGGAGTTTTCAGGAAAAGATGGGAGAAGTCCATATATCATCTAATTCTTCTAGCAGCCATAAGACAGATTCATGCAAGGACTCTTGGAGGACGTAGGGAATGGTAGGATTCTTAACTGCCAGTGTTATGGACATGTCACAGGGCAGTTTGCAGTTGTTCATGAAACAGTGCTTTTTAAACCTAGTGCTTTGCATGGTGGCTTCCAGGACAGAGTGTTACCTTGATATCATATCCCAGTGTATTCATGAATTGATTCCATACCCGTGACTTGGCCACTGCCATATCCATTTGCCTTACCTCTACCTGCAAATATATTTGAAAAGAAACAAAATTAATTCTTCCTTTATTTATTAAGCTAGCATTGCATCCCCCTCCAGTAGTCTTTTTAAACTCAGAAAAATTCTATAAAATCTCACTTTAGCTCATTTATTCACAGTTCTAACAGTAGCTAACTTCTGCTACCCCTGTGGTAAAAGAAGGGTAATTTGAAGAGAAGCCCAGTTTTTGAGGATTAGGGAGGGATTGTTTTTCCCTATATTATGTTTTGATCCCCTACTCTTTCAAAAAAGGAAAAAAGCATTAAAATGGTATCATTCCAATTACTTTGTAGTCTTAAAATTAAACCTTCTCAACTTTACATGAATTCTGTACATAACAGATATTTACAAATGGGTAGTTCCTGCCTTTATACAGTTGGTACATATGGTTTTTTAAAATTTTGAATTTTCTTCTTCTATATAGATTAATCTGGTGATTAATCCTAAAGACTTGAGAACTGACACCAAGCGAGCCAGCGGGGCTGGAGGGCAGCATGTAAATACTACAGACAGTGCTGTCCGTATAGTTCATCTTCCAACAGGTATGTACTTACTCCTTCAACATAAAACACAAACACACACACACACACAAAATCAGTTTCTGAATGACTTATTGCCTACTGAAATAAATCCTCAACTACCAGAGGTACATACACTGCAAAAGATCCTTATTAAATTTTATACTTGTTTTATTTAGAATCCTTAGCTGATATTCTGTGGGATACTGCAAAGCCAGGAAGAGGGAGAGATCTAAGCCCAGGGAATTCCCATGTTAGTGACTGAGTAGAAGGTACGGATAGTCCTTCCAAGTAACTTTCTAAAATTTACACTTTGTTGGCAATTTTTTAAAATCCTCACAGTGAAGTGTCATGAGTTCTTCATTAATGCTCTAAGTCACTGATTCTTAGCCTTCTTGTGGGGAAAGGGAACATGGACTCCTTTCAAAAATCAAAGCATTGGACCTGCTAAACAAAAACATAAGTACATGCAAAGCTTTGCATATAATTTCAGGGGCTTCTTTCCATTAACTTCACTCACAGATCTTCAAGGAATCTGATGTAGAATGAAATGTGTTTTCAAAGTATTGCTACAGTGATTCACATGTGGATAGCAACCTGTGGATAGCAACCTATGGATAGCAACGCTTAGTTATCTAAAAAGGATAAAAGAGTTTCTTACTATGATCTCAATTAGGTATAATTCCCACAAACCTATAGTAGTTGTTAGGAGTGCTGGATTGCTATGATTTTGTTCTTTTAACTATAGGAAAATCCTCATGTTAAACTGAATGTCTTATGTCACACAGAGTATGTAAACAGAAATAGGAAAAAAATAGATATCTTCAAAAATACTAATAGTGATTATTCCTAGTAATATAATTTATAACTTTTATATATCTTAGTTTCTATAAGTAGGTATTACCTTAAAAACATTATAGTGACTAGCTGAGGAGAAACAATCCATATTAAATGATGTATGCTTATGGTTTAGTATGTATGCCTTCAACATGGAAATACTTTATAAGTTATTAAGTTTATAGTCTCTTTCTTTTTTATTAGAGTCCTGTTTTTTCCCCTTATAAAGGAAGAAGAAAAAGGATGAGAAGGACAAGGATTATTCCTTGATAATAAAGGAGATGTTTCTATTAAAACTCTTTAATTCTCATAACACTATTCAGGTGTTGTTTCTGAATGCCAACAAGAGAGATCTCAACTGAAAAATAGAGAGATGGCTATGAAAAAGTTACGTGCAAAACTGTACAGCATGCATCTGGAAGAAGAAACAAGTAAAAGATACAATGCTAGAAAGATTCAGGTAAAAATGAATTTATAAAATGCTTTTAAGAAATAAAAATGTTTTTTAGCTAACTCCCATTTTTTTTATGTATCAAAATTGTTTTAATATATCTGTCAAAGCAATTCTAGTAGTTTATCTAAGGGTTATACTTGCTTTGTAGTAATTTTACACACACACCCTATTTTCTATATTCAAAGACATTTTTCTCAGACTTCTAATCAAAGGTACTAAAACAAGATATACTGAATCCCCATTCATTTATAGTCCTTGGAAATTATAAAAGCAAGAAATTTGGAAAGGAAACCGAGATTTCTGCTTGGTATTTAATTTTATAACTACAGAGCTTTTTAAAAATATATATTATTCTAAAGATTTGGGGTACAATTCAGGATTAGGTATACAAGTGGACATCATACAGGTAAAGTTTGGGCCTCCCATTGGTCCCCACTTTGCCTGATTTGAGATCAGGTACCCTTATTGATGTTATGTGCTCCCCCACCCCTCCCCACCCCACGGTATCCCACTACTACCAGTCCCTTTCCCATACAACTACAGAGCCTTTTAAGAATTCCTCCATATGGGAAATTCATCATCTTGTCACCACATAAGGTGAATACATTAATTTAGAGATTGTATTCAGTTATTTGAATATCGGCTGTGTGCTAGTCTCTTTATATGCCATCAGTGTATAGTAGATATTCTTTGTATTTTGCAGATGGGGAAACTAAAGTTTAGAGTTGAAGTAAACTACCTGAAGTTATAGAGCATTGTAGTAGATATTATTTGTCTGTATTTTGCAGATGGGGAAACTAAACTTTAGAGTTGAAGTAAACTGCCTGAAGTTACAGAGCATTGAAGTAGTAGAGACAGAATTCAAATATTAATTTGTCTGATTTTAAAACCTATGTTATTTTTCTGTATCATGCTCTCATGACATTTGAAGATTGACAGTGTTTAAAATTCATGTTATAAATCAGGAACTTAATTTCTAAGTAAAATTTATAGGCAAGTTGACCTGAATCTATCTTTTTTTCTTTTCCTTTTTTTAAATATAGATTGGAACTAAAGGAAGGTCAGAGAAAATAAGAACTTACAATTTTCCACAGAACCGGGTCACAGATCACAGAATAAACAAGTCGCTGCATGATCTTGAAACTTTTATGCAAGGAGATTATCTACTGGATGAACTTGTACAGTCATTGAAGGACTATGCTGATTATGAGTCTTTAGTAGAAATTATTTCTCAAAAAGTTTGAGTTGGTCACTTATTAAAGACTTCATAGCTTAGAAAAACTCTACAGGAAATCACGTTGTGTGTAAAAATACCAGTATTCTCTTGAAAAATATTACAGTTGGAAATAATATGCATATATATTTTCTTTATTGGAAAATATAGTTTATTTTTAAAGTAAACTAGAGTCCATTGCCTTGCTAAGCTAGGGTGTGGCCATGTTTTCTTAAACTTTGGTCCCCTCCCCTTCCTTGGGGAGGTGCATTTCCTCTTTCTGACTTTCTAAATAAACTATATTTTCTAATCTTAAGGATAAAAAAGAATAGAGAGAAAGAGAAGAGTCGCCTCCCCAAGGTGGAGGAGGAGGGGGCCAACGCTGGGAAACCATGGCCTGGCCAGTGCTCAAAGAGCCAGGTGGCCACATCAGAGTTTAACAAAGCAATGGCCACATATTCTTAAGACAAAGATGATTTATATAAATCACTCAATTTATTAGTAAAAAACATACAATTTACATATGCTTCTCAATTTACAATAGGGTTATTTCCAGATAAACACATTGTAAGTCAAAAATATTGCAAGTCTATCATAATATTATGAGAAAGGGATTGGCAGTAGTGGGAAACTGCCAGGGGAGGAGGGGGCACAGCTCATCAACAAGGGTACCTGCATAATAAACATTTGTATACCTAACCCTGAATTGTACCCCATACCTTCAAAATTAAAAATTAAAAATATGTATATAGCAATTAAAAAATGTATTTAACACTGGCAACACAGCAGATTATCCACTATTTAATGGTTTGACTTACAGTTTTTCAGCTTTACAAATAGCTACAGAAGAGCTATGCATTCATAAGTTACAGTAAGCTCCTCGACTTAAAAAGGGGCTATGTCCTGATAAGCCCATCGTAAAGTAAAAAAAATCCTAAGACAAACCTATTGTAAGTGGGGACTGTAATCATGACTATGGTTGTAAATTTTGGATTCTTATAAGAAGTTGACAAAGGAAAATGGTCCTTTGTCCTGTTTTTATGTAAAAATTGGAAATCAAAAATTTGGTTTAACTATCGTGAAAAACGTCAAACATAAAATAGCAATATGACAGTAAATGCTATACTATGTTCCAGTCAGTAGATGGAAACCATACCATTAATTTGTACAGGGATCATTTTAATATAGAGAATTTTTAACTGATAATGGAATAGCTATTCAGAAAGATGAGAGAGAATTCAAATATGCTAGGACTCAGTAACGTAGCAAGGGCTTCTCTTCCCCACATAAGTCAGACATATTGGAAAAGGTATGGCTGCAACCTACTTGATGAAATTCCCTGGGTTGCTTTATGCCAAAGCTGGTGTGCAAAAGGTGGATCAGCTCTTGCAAGCAGAGAACCTAAAACTTCGCTACTAAGCAAGAAGCCTCCTGCTAGGGTGTGAGCAAAACTTGTTGGACAGAAAGCCCCAGTAGGTGTTTGTATTAGGGTTCTCCAAAGAAACAACCATTATAAGGATTGGCTGAAAAGTCCAAAAGGCTATAGTGTGAGCCAGGAGGCTAGAGACCCAGGGAAACCCAAAGGCAGTCTGCTGGTCAATTCTCTCTTGCTTGGGGGAGACTGGTCTTTTTGTTCTATGCAGACTTTCAACTGGTTGGATGAATCTCACCGATATTACGGTGAGCTATCTGCTTTATTCAAAGTTCACAGATAAAACTGTCAATCTCCTTCAAAAACGCCCTCACAGAAACACCCAGAATAACATTTAACCAGATATCTGGGTACCCAAGAGTGTACCATTGAAGCAAGAGAAACAAGAAGCCACTTTCTCCTGCAGTGCCCCGTTACCACACCCTAATGACAAAGCTTAACATGGTGCTATCTGGCAAAGAATAAGTGTTGTAAAGTTGCTATGAGTTATATGTGTCCCCTCCAAAATTCAAGTGTTGCCTATGTGATAGTATTAAGAGATGGGCCCAGCCGGGCTTGGTGGCTCAGCCTGTAATCCTGCACTTTGGGAGGCTGAGGTAAGTGGACTGCCTGAGCCTGCGGGTTCAAGACCCGCCTGGGCAACTTGGTGAGACCTCATTTCTACAATAAATCAAAAAGTTAGCCAGGCGTGCTGGTGCGTGCCGGTAGTTCTAGCTACTTGGAAGGCTGAGGGGGAAGAATCGCCGGAGCCCAGCGGGTCGAGGCTGCAGTGACTGGGAGCGGCCACTGCACTCCAGTCTGGGTGACAGAGTGAAACTCCAACTCAAAAAAAAAAAAAAGATGGGGCCATTAAGAGGTGACTAGGCCATGAGGACTTTACTCTTCTGAATGACATTAAGGCCCTTACAAGAGAGGCTTCATGGAGCAAGCATTCTATCTTGTCATTCTGCCTTCTGCTATGTGAGGATGCATCAAGAAAGTCCTCACCAAACAACAAATGCCAGCATCTTGATCTTGGCCTTCTCGGCCTTCAGAACTGTGAAAAATAACATTTCTGTTTTTTATAAATTATCCAGTCTTATGTGTTCTGATACAGCAGCACAAACTAAGACACAGGTCCAGCTCCAGCATCACAAACTTGGGAATAAAAGGTGAATTTGCTGCTGAGAGGCAATAAATTTAACTGGCACTAATACCCATACTCATTGCCTACTTTCAGTAATGTTTTCATATTTGCTTAGTGTTTGAAGTAAATTACAAATATCACAACACTTCACCTTTAAATATTTCAGCTTGCATTTTCAAAAACTATCCTTATTCTATTTAAGCCTATACCATCATCACACCTAACAAAATTCACAGTAATTCTCTAATATCATCAAATACCCAATAATACAAATTTTCCCAATTCTCCCCAAAATATAGCTGGCTTCTTCAAACCAGAATCCAACTAAGGATTACACATGGAATGGAATTTAGTGGTCACATTCCATAAGTCTCCCTTAATCTAGAACAGCCCTGCTGCCTCTCTTCCCATTTTTTTCATGATAATGCATTGAATTTGCATTTGAGAAGGTCAGGCTAGATATTGAGTAACTAGGTCTTTGACTCAGTATTTCCTCAAACTGGACAATGGAGCTTAATACTTGGCTAGTGTTGAATATTCCAATGCCTGTGACTTAGCATTGTTGTCACTAAAATATTAAGTAGATCAGGTCTGAATATTCTGATATGCTTTTACTGAGATGTATTAGATTGCCCCCAAAATAATAACAGATGAGACAAAACCAACCTATAAAGTAAGAATTTGTAATTGATAAGCTTAAAACAAAATTAATATAGTTTATCAATATTCTTTTGACCGAAGGTGTAAAAGAAAAAGTATGTTCCTTTTTCCGTGGGAAATCTTGGTTACAAATAGTTCTTTTCTGAGAAGAAAGATTAGAAAGAATTGGGGCCTGAGAGGTCAGGAAAGCCCAAGAATGTTTGCATGGGGCTGCCCAGCTACAAAAGACCTTGTGATGTTAACAGGAACAGGATAAAGCAAGTATCCTTGATGAAGAAATGTAAGGTTTTTGTTTTTGAGTTGGAGTCTCACCCTGTCACCCAGGGTGGAGTGCAGTGGCATGCTCACGGCCACCACCGCAGCCTCAATTTGCCCGGGCTCAGGTGACCCTTCTGCCTTGCCTTCCAATTAGCTGGAACCACAGGCATGTGCCACCACAACCGGCTAATTTTTTGATTTATTGTAAAAAGGAGGTCTCGCCATGTTGCTCAGGCTGGTCTGAAACCCCTGAGCTCAGGCAATCCTCTCGCCTCCATTTCCCAAAGTGGTGAGATTGCAGGCTTGAGCCACTGCGCCCAGCATAATGTAAAATAAACATAAGACATTTCAGTTATCAAAGAAATGAGAAAAGGTGGAAATGGCTCAAGACTTTTTTTAACATGGGATAAACTAAAAGCTCTGAGAAGAGTTCCACCTAGTTACAACTGTGAGAAATGTTTGTTCTTTACAAATTACCCAGTCTGTGATCATAATAAATGTTAAATTTCTAGTAGTTACAAGATAGGTTTCCAAAGAAAATGACTTCACTATTAAAGTTATGTTTAAAATGTTGAAAAATTAGAAGACATTTATTTAACTCCCAAAACTGCCACACTTCTTCCATATTTTGAGAATCAACAGTAGTCTGATTTCTTTTTTCTTTTTTTTGAGTCAGAGTCTCACTCTATCGCCCAGGCTGGAAGTCAGTGGCACACTCACAGCCACCACAGCCTTGGCCTGCTGGGCTCAGATGATCTTCTGCCTCAGCCTTCCAAGTAGCTGGAACTACAGGCATGTGCCACCACATCCAGCTGATTTTTCTTGATTTATTGCAGAGATGAGGTCTCGCCAAGTTGCCCAGGTTGGTCTTGAACCCGTGGGCTCAGGCAGTCCTCTCACCTCAGCCTCCCAAACTGCTTGGATTATAGGGCATGAGCCACCATGCCTGGCCTAGTCTGATTTCTTATGAGCATATATAGTACATAAACTCAAAACTATAATATTATCATCAGATGTTTTTCCTTGTAAGTCAACATTAGCCAAATTTCTTTTACAGCCTAGTTTGTGCTAATTTGTACAGTATTTTATATTGATAATCAATTGTTTTCCTTATTTTTTTAAAAGAGAAATATAAAGCCGGGCTTGGTGGCTCAGCCTGTAATCCCGCGCCTTTGGGAGGCTGAGGTGAGTGGATTGCCTGAGCCCCGCGGGTTTGAGACCCGCCTGGGCAGCAAGACCTCATCTCTACAATAAATCAAAAAATCAGCCGGGCGTGGTAGCACATGCCTGTAATTCCGGCTACTTGGAAGGCTGAGGCAGAAGGATTGCCGGAGCCCAGCAGGTCAAGGCTGCGGTGGCCGGGAGCAGCCACTGCACTCCAGTTTGGGCAACAGAGTGAGACTCCAACTCAAAACAAAAAACAAAAAAACAAAAGAGAAATATAACACCTTGATCAGGCAAGCTAGCTATACTCACCTCCAGGAGGATAAATAAATAAATAAAACAAATAAAGAAAACCATTACAGACGGTTTAGGATTTTAAAACTGGCCAAGGGGTTACCAAATATATCAAAGAATTTTATTTTAAAGAGCATCTCTCTTTTAATCTGCTTAAGAAGGCATTCTACCTTTATAAGAACAGTTACATGCAGCTAAGTGTGATCTATGCAACTCAAGTATACAGTAGGGATAATCATTCAGATTATTCTACCATATTTAGTGTCCCTCACTGTTTTATCACTTTCTTCCTGAGTGTTTCAGTTTCCAGGTTTCTGTTTTTAATGAAAGGCACATATTCACAGTTTACTAAATATTACAATTTAATATTACTTCATTTCCCCTTACCACTTCTAACAGGTAATAATTAGAAAAGTTAGATTAAGACTGTGAAGAGTTTTGAATGCTGGATTTCATTCTGTGAACAAGGTAGAACTATTAAAAGTCTGTTTATTCCTGTCACCCCCACCCTCCTACCCTCCCTTATCCCTTGCCCCACAGGAAAAGCAGGTAGGAGAGCTGTACTAATTAAGGTGGGAAAAAACCCTTGGTCGATTTTGAAAGCATGATGTTCCATTAGAACATCATAGTTGGTTAGGAAAAAATCATAACACTTAAATAATTTTAACAATATAAATTTAAAATATGCATTAGTAGGTATATTATGAACACATAAAGAGTATCACAGGTCTATGACCTCATACTGCCTCCTTCACTCACTAATCTTAGTTATTCCTAAATGACCAAGTGTAATTTTGGAAGCCCAGTAAGGGTAGAGCACCATAATTCTGGCAGAATACTGGACGCTTAAGTCTAACATTTTAAGGTTCTTGGGATTTGTAGGTGTTTGCACAAGCAATCCATCTACATAATTATCTTAATGATAAACCATGTACTGTCACTCTGTCTTTGCTCATGCTGCCCCCTCTACATAGAAGACATATACTCTGTTTACTTTTGCAGGCAGATTTTAAGGTCCATTCTAAAGGGCACCTTACTCCCAGGTAGAACTTCATTTGTTTTCCATAGTACTTTACCACATGCTGTGGTGTGAGTGTGTCCCCCCAAATTTATGTGTTGGAAACTTATTGCTCAATGCAACAGAGATGAAAGGTAGGGCCTTTGGGGAGGTGTTTAGGTCATGAGGGCTTCATGAAGTCTTCATGAATGAATTAATTAGTTATAAAAGGACTTGATGGAGAGAGTTTGAACTTTTTGGACCTTCCACCTTTTGCCATGTGGAAGACACAGTATACCTCCCCTCCAGACGATACAGAATTCAAGGCACCATCTTAGAAGCATAAAGACACTGCCATCAGATGCTGGTCCCTTGTTCTTGGACTTCCCAGTCTCCAGAACTGTGAGAAATAAATGTTTGTTCTTTACAAATTACCCAGTCTGTGGTCAAAACAGACCAAGACACCATTATCTGAATGTATATCACAAGGTAATAAATTTACTGATTTATTCCAGTCTGAAGATTGTGTGCTTAATAAAGGAATGAGAAAAGTTGAGTCAGGGCACAGGATAAACAAGTGTTGCTAGACCTCTCACATTCGTCTCATTAATGGATTAGATTGTTTTCACATCGTGCCATAACAGGCACTAAATGGATGCCTAAAAGCAGTTATAACTAAAGTATTTATCTAGAAATCTAGTGTAATGTTCAGAAAGAACCTAATTTCAAAAGGGCATTCAGCACCAATTATTAAAGGTTCATTAGCTAAAATGGCAATGCTGAAGATTTTAAACAGGTGATTACCATGATTAAAATGAAACGTCATATTCCTCTAGAACCCATTTCTCAAGGTGTGATCTTAGTTTAATTGTACTATCATTCTCCCTCTCTCTCAAATTTAAAATGTGGTCATCTTAGATTCCTATTTCAGTTATTTGCTAAATTTTACTCTCCTAGTAAACACTGCCATTCTCTCTAATTCCATTATCACTACTCTTGTCCAGAATTATTCTCTTTTTGACTTTAACAGTCACCTGACTTCTCCTTGCATTCTATTTGATATCAGTTCTGGTTACATATAAGCAACTGCCAAATTAATTTTCCCAAAAAGCAAGACTCTGATCTTGTCACTCCTTTGCTCAACAATGTAATAGCTCCCCATCGCCCCCTAAATAAAGCTCCAGTTCCCAACACTGCAAACAATACATCCATGATCTGTGTCCAGTATCATTTTGTATTAGCCCTTTCTATACACCACTTCCCTTATGACACATCCTATTTACCCTGATAAATGCACCCACATTTAAACTTTCCCTCATTTTTTTCCCCTGTGCTATGGAAGGCCTCACTTGTTCCCGTTTCCTCAAAAGACATCTCCTATAGCGGTGGTCCTCAATCAGAGGCAATTTTGCACTCCAGGGATCATTTGGCATTGCTTACAGACAGTTATTACAACCAGGAGGGAGAGTTATAGACTAGAAAATTTGCTTAGGATAGTTCCATACAATGCACAGGACAATCCCCTACCACAAAGAATTATCTAGCCCAAAATGTCAATAAAGGTGAGGTTAAGAAACTCTGTCCTACAGATTATTCCCCTATCCTGGCATATAAAAGTAATTCCTCTTTTCTATAAAAATTCCCACAAATTTAAATATATTTGACTCACCCAATGTTCCATATAGCTTTATTTTATACACCTTACTCTCACCCTCCTGCACCTCAGGATTATTTTAATCAAAAGGCCGGGCTCGGTGGCTCAGCCTGTAATCCCACAATTTGGGAGGCTGAGGTGAGTGGATTGCCTGAGCCCGAGGGTTCGAGACCCACTTGGGCAACTTGACGAGACCTCATCTCTACAGTAAAAATCAAAAATTAGCCGGGCATGGCAGTGCGCGCCTTTAGTTCCAGCTACTTGGAAGGCTGAGGCGGAAGGATCGCCGGAGATTTACCAGGATTCTACTATTCAGTAAGCCCACAGATAGTAAGCACAAGGGCAGGTATCATATCTCAATTATTTCCATATATTCCACTATGTTTTGCACGTGGCAGGTCTTCAGTAAGTCTAATGAAAGAATGAGGGCAGTTCTCTCTGCACTTCACTTTGTACCTCAAAACCCAATTCTGATACTGATTTGCAGGAAGAGTATACTTCTTGTTGGCATCTAGTAAAATCAGAAAAGCTCTTTAGTTTCTCACTAAAGATGAAATTAACAGGTGCCAATTAACTTACTGAACAAGCTGTCAGTCAGTTATGAATAATACTTTATCATAATCAATTACAGCTCAAGCATTTAAAGTAATGATTAAGTAAATTAATAAACTAAAAAAGACTGAAAATTATTCCAATACACAAAAAAACTCTTTAATTTTAGTTTTTCCAATAACAGATCAATCTTTTTTTAGAAAAAGAAAATTTGCTTAAGAACATTTTTTTTTTTGAGTGGATGTCTCTCAGGCTATCCTTACACCTCAGTCTCCCAAGTAGCTGGGACTACAAGCATGCGCCACCACACTCCAGGTAATTTTTTTTAAAACTTTTGCAGAGACAAAGTCTTGCTATGTCGCCCAAGTTAGTCTAGGGCTCAAGCGATCCTCCTGCCTCAGCCTCCCAACATGCTGGGATTACATACGTGAGCCACCACATCCAGCTAAGAACACTTTTAAGCTGTGCTTAAAACCCAAAGGTTATATTCCAGATGCTCAACTAATTTAATGAGAATCATTCCTCCCCTAAAACTTCATATTTCTGGCCACATCTGAAAATTTTATAAGTTGAATAAACATCTCCATGGTCCAAGTGGGAAGTGATGTAAAATGTACTATAAACAACCAGGACTCCAGCAAATACTACTACTCCTCAGCATAAAAGGAAAGTATATGGACTTTGAATTGGAATCTTTTGCTTACTAGCTGTGTGGTTCTAGGAAAAAAAACAATGAGAATTAACTTACACTTCTAAGTACTATATTCATCATAAAATTAAAATAATGCTAGGAGTATTGTGAGAATTAAAGGCTAGCATTTACATTTTATTTATAACACATAAAAAGCAGCTATTATTGTTTGAATAGTCACTCAACAAATCACTCCCTTGCTAGAATCTCTCCAAAGCTACCGACTGCAATCAGAAGAAAGTCTAACCTCTACATGGAAATCTATGAGGTCCTACAGGATCTGGCTTCTGCTTACCTCTCTGACCTCATCTATTCTATTGTTGCCAATGTGTTCTACTCAGGCATTCTCCTTTTCTCTATGTATCACCAGTTCAACATTCACATCATGGTTCAAGTTCTTAGAAACCCTGACCATCCAAAATCCTCATCTATACCTCTAATTCCCAATCCCTACCCCATTATATTGTTTTATGTCCTCTTTCATTTACTGAAATTGTACCTGTCAATTTCTTTCCCATTAGTATGTAAACTCCCTGAAGTTTACAGGACCTAGTAACTGAGGCACGTTCCTCAGGTGCACAATTTAAGGGACGACAAAAATTTCAGTAATCAAGGCTGACACTATTTTAATGTAACATTTTTTAATCCATGATAAATTAATTATCAAAAGACAGTAAAGATGGGATCCACCCAGCACTTGTATGAGTCATACTAATCCCAGCCTAGCCTCACACAGGACTAGTCACTCACTAATGGCATTGAACATTAACCATAAACCAAGTACCACCTCTCCCAAAGGCTGCCCAAAATCACAAGAGGAAACAGCAAAAGATGAGGATTCCTCTTGTTGCCCTATGCTGTAGTCAAAAACTGAGTTCAGTGAATTACTGTCGTAATAAAGTGACAAAAAGGGGGGCCACCGCTAAAGTGCATATTCAAATAGTGAAAGGTTCAGCATCACTAATAATATGGTGCGCTTTTAATATCTGCATCCATTCCGGCCAACACTAAAACCTATCCAACTTGGACAGGGGCCTCTAGCCCAAGAGGGTGGCAACTTTTATTTTTGAGCAGGACTGTCACTTGCGCTTGGCCCTTGAGGAAAAGAAACAAAAACCTACGAGAGCGTAGAATACAAATTCAGTAAACTTAACTCCGTACAAAACAATAGTTTCTGAAGAATTGTGGTTGAATATACAAACACTTGCGCTTACAAGAGTGACTCTGTGCCGCAAGGCCCTGGGACAGCGCGGCCGCAGGTCTCCCGCCACAGCAGCAGCCAGCTCCGACCCAGAAGCGCGCGCACGCGCAGCGAGGGCCGCAGAATCCCTTGCCGCGGCGTGTCTCCCTCCTTTCCCTCCCCCGGGAAAAAAGCGGGGGAACCCCAGTCCGCAGGCGCCAACCCGCCAACTCTGCAGCCACCGCCCGCCAAAGGCGCCTGCGCAGAAGCATTGGGCAGGGGGCGTGGCGAAATTAGGAGGGAGAGAGGAGCGCGCGCGTAAATCCTAGAGAGGCGGGCTAAGTAGGCCTGGGGGGAGGGTTCATCTTCCGGAAAGACTGGATTCCGGGACGACCAGAGTTGCCGCTCACCGACCTCTCACTTGTAAGATGATCCAAGAACGTTGGCTGCCATTTGCACCCACCGGAGATCTTCATATGGAAGCCAGAGCCGTCTTCAAGCTGAAATCAGGACTTACAGCCGACGGGTTCCCAAGACGGCGGAGGGAAGCTTGGCGGGCGCACGCATGCGTGGTAGGCCCCCTCCACGTGCGGCCGGACCGCGGCCTACCCGCGCTTGAAGGCCCCGCCCCGGGTCTCAGCATCTTTCCGGTCGTGCGGAGCCGGCGAGATGAAAGTGGGTTGGGCTTCGCGGCTCGGCCCCGCCCCGGCAGCCTCCAATTGGGTGTGGGTGAGCTCAGCCCCTCCCACTGCCTTCCTATTGGTGTGCACGTGCAGGCGGTGCTCCCCATTGGGCTTCGCGGATTTGGGAACCAAATTCAAAGATTTTAAAAGTACCAGCTGGCGCCTTTTAAGAGATACGGCCCTGAGAAGCAGGCAGCGCACCCTGTAGCTGCCGTCGCAGTTCTTACACCTGAGGCGGACCCCACGACCACTGATATGAGCCGGTCTCCCTGCAGCTGCTCCCCACGGCCACCCCCCTGTGCCTGCAGCTCTGTCCCCAGCACCGTGACAGCCACCGGGCGCCCTCGCCCCTCGGACTGTAAGTGAGGAGAGCGGGCGCGAGGGGGGCGCACACTTCCAGGAGGGGTGCATGGTGAAGGAACGCAGCCTGAGACCCCTGACCTGACATCCTCCCGAGCCTGGACGCGCGACCACACGCTGGGCCCTCGGGGGGTGGCGGCGGCGGTCCCTGGGTCCGGGAGAGAGAATACTGGGGTTCGGGGAGGGGAAGCCAGATGTGTTGGGGCGGGATGGCGGGCCGCAGGGTCCCGCCGCCCGCGCCGAGCCTAGACTCCAGCTCTGGGGAGACGCTGGTCGTGGCACATTAGGGCGCCGTTTTTCCTCCTCTGAAGGTCTACCTATCCCCACCCTGCCTGAATAGGCGCCAAATGCCCCCTCCCCCACCCTGGGGCTCCCGGCTGACGGGGCTGTGGGCCGGCAGCCCCCAGGGTCTACTCAGGTGCCTCACCCTCACCACCTGCACCTCTTTTGCGTTTCTGTCCCGCACCCTCCGATCTGAAGTCAATTTCCCCGGTTTTTCGCTGCCCCAGCCTTGCTGGCGGGCGCGGGAGATCGTGCTCGCGGTTATCTCCCGCCTCCTCGGCACGTACCGCGCCCTGAAGGGCAATCCCACCGACCCCTCTGGAGTTCCAGGGTCTCCCTCCCCACTCCCGCCAAATGGAGAGGACCCCACCACCACCATTGGACCACACTCAATTGGTATGTTCCTACAAAAACGATAATTTTCCTCTTTTTTTCTTTGCCCAATAACTCAGTCTCAAGGCCTGGGGCCTAAAGGGAACAGTTTTTTAAAAATCGCTTTTGACTACAAAATCTTGAATTTGCCCATAATATTTAGCTGATTTTGTGAGAACTGAAGGTTTGGTTATTTTTTTTCCCCCAGTACTCGTAAAGAACTAGATAGTCCTTTATTTCAAAGCTTGTAGAGAGTGGAAGGCACTCAAACGCTTTTTTCTTTATCTTTTTTGTTGTTACCTCTAAATGAAATACAAATCCATTTATTTCTACCTCAGAAAATACTCAAATGAAGATAGTTAGCAATCCAGCATTGTACTATTTGGGAATGCCTCTTTTATCAGGAAAGAAATCTTAGAAGTCTCAAGGGAAAAAATAGCACTTAATTTTAACACATTTCTAAAAGGTCCTGGATCATAAGTCTCCCTTCCAAAGTGTCTGAAGCTTGATGCCTTTATGAGAAGTTTTTTTGATTATTAACTTCAGTTTTTTACTACCTTGCTCCTCAGAAAGTATTTGCAGCCCCTTGGAATTTTTTCCTGTTTACAGGTTTGAGGAAATGAAGTTTATAAAACTTACATCCAAATATTTTTAAAAGTAGGCTTTTCTAAAATTTTCTCATAAGGATTATGACTGATTTACACTGTATAGTCACAAATCTTGGACTGCTTTTAGCCAGAGGAATGACCATACCTAACACAGGGCACACGGTGGTTATCTGTAGGTATTGGAGACATGGGACTTAATCATTTATTTAACATATTAGAAGAGCTGTAAAGATTTTTAAGTACTGTAGCCTTAATCATGGTATTTAATATGGAGTGTCAGGTCCATGCTGAAAAATTAAGTGTACTGTAAGGTTAAACTTTGTACAGTTGACTGTAATACCATTTTTCCATGATTGGACTGGGAATTGGTGAGTGGTTTAAAAGATAATCTATTTGAGTTTTAATTAGTATCTCCACTTTGGGGAGAATAAAGGATAATTAGAACGTCTCAAGTTCACAAAGCTAGTCAAAAGGCTGACCAAGAATTTTCATTTGAACTTGAATCTCATTCCTAAATCTACACATTCTAATGGAACAGCATATAATCTTCTGAAATGTATACTTTTGTGTGGAGTGTATTTTACTACTTTTAAATGTTAATGATTTGCAATGTAAGGAATGTGAGAAGGTTTGGCTTATGTGATTAAAATAGGTTGTATTGCTTAGACTCCTGAGACAAAGACTTTTCCATGCTTTTAATTCAATTTTACTTTCTTACCCCCATTTTATGAATGAGCAAACTGAGGTTTTAAAAGTTAACTTCCTCAGTTTCTCCAATTCAGTAAAAGGCACAGTATACCTTAAATACTTAAGTCTTAAACCCCGGGGTGCTTGTTTTTGTGGGATTTTTTTTTTTTTACTCCTTTTCTGCATATTCACATCTAGTACCTTAGCAGGCTCCATTGGTTTTACCATCCTAAGTAATAGACCATGAATGTATCCAATGATTCTCATTTCCACTGCAATCATCCTAGTCCTGGGTACCCCACTCTGTACTCTTGTGGTTTAAAAAAAAAAACAACTGACTAGTCTCCCCGCTTCCACTTTGACCTTCCTACAGTCAATTTCCACAGCTGCCAATGATCTTTTGAAAATGTAAACCAATTCTCTCTTCCACATAAGGCCCAACCTACCCTACAAATCTATGGACCATTCTACCCTTTCAACCTTATTTTTCAATCATCTACCAAGTTCATAAAGTTGCAACCTTGCTGATCTTTCTCTTCCTTGAACACTCTATAATTGTCCTTCGTTTCCCTCTTTCTGCAACTTTTCCAGATTTCCACAAGCCTTTCAGATGTCAGCATGTCACCTTCACTAACAGATTATTCCTTACTGATATCTTCCTCTACCCATACCTTGTCACTGAGTATTGGATAAATTAAATGAGATGACAGAACTGTACTCTTAACCCTCATCTGTTTAATTCAAGAACCATGTAGCATTTTTTTCTCTTCTCTGATAATATGTCAATTATACAAATACCATATATAGTTCCCAAATTTGACTTGGTCACTAGAAAGCACTAAACTTGGATTTAGCTTTTAGCAAAGAGTTTGCTTCAGTTTCCTTTTGTATAAAAGGTAATACTATTTCATTTATTCTGCATTATTGTTAATAGAGACGAAACATTAATTTTACATTAAAATTAAATTTACAGCCAACATCTAGATTTCAGTTTCAGCTAATACCTTTCTCCAAAAAAAAGAACCAGGAGAAGTGACTGATTCTAGGACCAGAGCAGGGAAAATACTAAATGAGCTTGTAGCATCTTGTAGTTGGAGCAACAATTTAAATAGTATTGGATTGTATAACCTGAAGCCTATGAGAGTATACTGACTTAAATAATTGAATTAATAAATGGAAGACTATTAATAGACAAATCTCCAGTGATTTATAGGTATACTCCCCTCAAAGAAGTGAAGAATAATTCCTCACTGCTTTAAGTGTGAGCTGTGCATAGTGACTTCCTTCCAAAGAGTTTTGGCTGGAAAAGGAACAAAAAGGAATAAGTTTATACGTTGGGAAAACTTGATAGATTCTACATCAGCCAAATGATCACTGTTAGCATCTTCAATGATAAAGCATATTAGTAGCACGTACACTAGATGTGATTTGATGATAATGACACTTTACCTCTGTGGTCTAAAAATCTCCATACTAACCTTGGGGAAAATATCAGACAAATCCTAATTGAGGAACAGGCTTCAAAATAACCGGGCCAGTATTTCTCAAAATTGACAAAGTCATCATAAGCAAGGAAAGTCAGAGAAATTGTCATAGACAAGAAAAGCCTAAGAAGATACGACTGACGAAATGTAATGTCACATCCTGGATGGCATTCTGGAACAAAAGAAAGATATTAGGTAGAAACTAAGGAAATCCAAGAAAATAGGAATTTTAGTTAATAACGCAACAATACTGGTATATCAATTGTAACATGCATGCACATTAGTAATGTAACAATTGGGTTCAGGATGTACAGGACTGCTGTACTATTACTATCCTTGCCACTTTTCTGTAATTCATAAAAGTTCATTTTAAAAATTATCTTACATAATCTATGTGAAAATATATGTTGGCACAAGAGAAATCATTTTGTTCATTTTATGTTCATTAAGTGCTAACTTAATGAATAAGGGTACAGATCCTAACATTGGTATTAGCTAAATGACTAGGAAGTACATTTTTATATTGCATGACTTTATTGTGTCAGGCACCATACTACTTGCCTGGATTCTGTAGTAAGCAATAATAGTCATGTCTGACCTTTAAGGTGCTTACATTAATCTTACTAATTTCAAATTGGTAGTGCTTTGAAGCGGGGTTTGATGAGGTCTGAGAAGCCCCCTTAAAAAAAAAATAGGAAACTGTACATGATTTATGCATTAGGAACTATATAGGCAAAAGAAGCAGAAAAGATATTTCAGGCAGGGAAAACGTAATGTATAAAGCCTCTGGGATGGAAAAAGTCATTGTAACTAAGGACTGTCAGGGCTTACGTAAATGAGAAAAGAAACGTGCAAAAATTCTGGCTTTTTTATCATTTTTGTAAAGAATATGAATGTTATTTGTAAAGTCTGTTTTTCCAAAGCACCTGATTCCCAAGTGAGATAGTGGAAAGAACACAGAATAGACAATCAAGAAGAGAAATCTGCCTCATTTAAGTACTTGTCCTGGGCAAACTATTTTGCTGAGCTAAACAGAGTAAGAGGTGTGCCTTCATAGGTAGCTTCTGTTTTCTTTCTCTCTTTCTTCCTTTCTTTCCTTTCTTCCTTTCTTCTTTCCTTTCCTTTCCTTTCCTTTCCTTCTTTCTTTCTTTCCTTCTTTTTTTTGAGTTGGAGTCTCACTCTGTCACCCAGGCTGGAGTATAATGGCATACTCACAGCCACCGCAGGCTCGACCTGCTGGACTCAGGAAATCAGCCTTCCAAGTAGCTGGAACTACAGGTGCATGCCACCCCACCAGGCTAATTTTTTGATTTATTGTGGAGACAAGGTCTTGCCAAGTTGCCCAGGCTGGCTCAAACCCCTGAACTCAGGTAATCCTCTCGCTTCTGTCTCTCAAAGTGCTGGGATTACAGGCATGAGCCACTGTGCTGGGCAGCTTCTGCTTTTTTTAATCTGCTAGGATAAATTGTGGTCACATAGGATTCAAACCTACTTCTTTACTTGAGGCAAGAATAGCAATCTTTTGGCATGTTTTACTCTTCTGATTGAAAGGAAACCACTCAATAATTTGTTCTAGATTTTGGAATAACTGGGGGTTTAAAATTTTTGTATCTTTATTTTGTGTGTACCCAAACACTTAGTTTACACCCAAAGTTTAAGTTTAGTAGTATCCTGAAACACATACTTAATGTCTTCCATTGTGTTAGACACTGGTAGTTTAAAAGCAGTTGCTATCTACAAGGTTACTTTCTATGAAGGTGTTCATTTGTCCTTTGGCTTGAAGGTTTTGTTCTAAGTAAAAAGGATTAAATTTTAATGGATTAAATTAAAATGGATAGTTTACCAAAATTTAGTACAGACTAAAATACTAACTGGTTTATACATTTACTTACATATAAGGTGAATTGTTAACCTATATACGATGGATTTGTTGGGGCATGGTAGATGGGGCACATTTTAAACTGACATTGAAGAATCAGGCTTTCTTAGCTCACATCCCCATTTTTCCTCTATTCATTTACTCTGCCTTCAACAATGCTGAGCAGTTTTCCTGAACCCATCTGCCATATTCCTTCCCTGCATTGTACCTTTTCTGGTTAACATCGGTGAATGCCCTTCCTTCCTTCCCAACCACTGTTGTCTGACAAAATTCCTAATCTTCCTTTAAAACTGTGGTTCTCAACTGAAGAATGGAGGAAATTTTGCCGCTGGCCTTTCCTCCCCAATATTTGGCAATAACTGGTAACTGGAGACATCTGTTTACTGTTGCATGTTGGGAATGAGGGCTACTACTAGTAAATGGGTAAAGGCTGCTAAGCATCCTACAATGTGCAAGACAGTTCCTAAGAACAAAAAATTAGTACTTCTAAGTCCAAAATGTCAGTAAAGCAGAGATTGAGAAACTCTGCTTTACAAAGCTTTCTTAAAATGTTACCTGCTCCATTATGTCTTAACTGATTTCTTGGGCCCTGGGGCTGGAAATGGGGGTGGTGATACAACCTTGAACGAGTCTTTAGCCTTTTTGAAGCTTACATTTGAATCAATAATTATGAATTCTAATTAATAATACCAAAACCTTCATAGTTAATAGCTGTTTTTCCCTTGTATGCTATTTGTAAATAGCCAGTATATTATCTTAAGTTATTTAAAGCAATTGAATAGTCGTAATTTTTACCTCCATGTTCTTAAATCTGGTTAACTGATTGAAGTGTCAATCTTATTTACCAACTCTTCTAATTGGTAGCTGAACTATTCTTCTGTTTGTTTTTGGTTAATTAGTTATGAAAAATCTTTGCTCAACAATTGAAGATAGCAGTTTCTAGCTTATATTAACCAAGATACAGGGAACCATCCTGTGATTGAGTTTACTATAAGATTAAAGTAATATTTGCACATACTATTGTCATATAAATAAACTTGGATAATATCACAGCTATATAGGCAATGCATAGTGCTGAGAAAATGCAAAGTAATCTTTATATGACGATGTAAGAAGGCATGTGAAAATTTTGCCATTAAGAAGTAAATGTTCTCTTTGTAGGTTGTAAAGAAGAAAGTTCTACTCTTCCTGTCAAAATGAAGTGTGATTTTAATTGTAACCATGTTCATTCTGGACTTAAGCTGGTAAAACCTGCTGACATTGGAAGACTAGATTCCTATACTCCTGCATATTTGGAAGGATCTTGTAAGGACTGCATTAAAGACTATGAAAGGTTATCAAGTATTGGGTCACCAGTTGTGAACCCTAGCATTGTAGAACTTCAAACTGAAAGTAAACCCTTGCATAACAAGGAAAATCAGCATGTGAAACAAACATTTAATACAAATGAGATAGAGGAGCTACAGACCAGTAGACTTTACGAAGACAGTGGCTATTCATCATTTTCTCACCAAAGTGGCTTCAGTGAACATGAAGAAGATAGCCTCACTCTGGAGGAAAATTTCAGTGACAGTCCACAATCCTGCCTGCTACAGATACAAAGCCCAGAACAATATCCCAACAAAAATTTGCTGCCAGTTCTTCATTTTGAAAAAGTGGTTTGTTCAACATTAAAAAAGAACGTGAAACGAAATCCTAAACTAGATAGGGAGATACTAAAGAAAATCATAGCCAGTGGAAATTCTGGACTACAAAATATAATTGGAAGGAAAATGGGCCTAGAATTTGTAGATATTCTCAGTGAACTCTTTCAAAGGGGACTCAGACATCTCTTAGCAAATGTTTTAGCACAGCTCAATGATATGGACTTAATTAAGTAAGTATTATTGCTTGGAATATGCATAATAGTATTACCCACTTAACATTTTTGCTAAGTGGCTCAGTACTATCAGCTCATGCAAAGATTGTACATCTTAAATGCTTGGGGCCAGAAGGATTTTGTTTTTCAGATTTTTTTCAAAGTTTGGAGTATTTGTATTATGTTAGATGAGCATTCCTAATCTGACATTTGAAATGCTCCCATGTGCATTTTTTGAGCATCATGTCAGTGCTCAAATATTTTTGGGATTTTGGGTAAGGGATGCTCAACCTGCAGTATGATAACCCTTACAGTGTTTAGCAGACATAATGACTTGATTGCTGGTGTTTCACTGTGAAGATAAAAATTTTAGAAGTATGCATTTAATCTAGTTCAAATTTTATATTCATGCTATTATAAGTCTGCATTTCTGGAATCTTTATTTCTTCTAGTCCTGAAATTCCTAATATGTAAGAGACATATTTTTGGCTTAACTGTAAAACAGCCTAGTTCCAGTCTACAGGACCAACAGGCATTTTGATTTTTGTTACATCTAAAAGTATGAAATAATAAGTATTGATTTTTTTTTTTTTTTTTTGAGTTGGAGTCTCACTCTGTCACCCAGACTGGAGTGCAGTGGCCGCTCCCGGCCACCGCAGTCTCAACCTGCTAGGCTCCGGTGATCCTTCCACCTCAGCCTTCCAAGTAGCCAGAATTATAGGCATGTGCTACCACGCCCGGCTGATTTTTTGATTTATTGTAGAGATGAGGTCTCGCTGTCCTGGCGGATCTCAAACCCACGGGCTCAGACAATCCACTCACCTCAGCCTCCCAAAGGCGTGGGATTACAGGCTGAGCCACCAAGCCCAGTGTGTATTGATTTTTTGTTAGCTAGCTTCTTAAGGAATAATCAGTTTCATAGATTCAACTTTTTCTATTAATAGCGAATTTTTAAAATTGATTTCTTATAATAGCAGTGTGTCCTAGAGTGTGTCCTTTGAGATTTGTCTACAACTTATACCAAATAGCTATATGGTGTCATATATAATGGTGCCTACTTATTTGATATTTGAGATATTGTGGGAAAAAAGTACAAAGCAGTTCTTAAATCTGGATGCACTTAGAATCATGGGGAGCTTTTAAAAAAAATGCAGAACCCTGGATTCCATTTTAGACCAATTAAACTCAAATTACTGAGCATGGGGCATTCTTAAATCTTAAATGCCCAAGGCCATTCTAATATACAGTCAGGTTTGAGAAGCACTGCTAACACAAATTTGTTTTTTGCACTGTTAATATTTTTTCTATTATATTCATCTTTGTTCTTTGTGAGGCTTTAAGTGTTTCCTTTATGGTTATTTACTTTTCCAGTGTGTCCAAAGTAAGCACAACTTGGAAGAAGATTCTAGAAGACGATACAGTGGCATTCCAGTTGTACAATAGAGCAGTGCAAAGAATTACTGTAAGTCTTTGCAGTTGATGTTTTCATTTTAAAATATACTGCAAAAGCCAGAAATGGGGGAGAAACAGGTAGTCTGGAAACCCTTCTTTATACTCACAAAGCATTCCAGCCTTGTGCTGCAACTTATTGAGAACGAAAATTCAAAAATAAAGAGAAAGGAATCTCACCTCATTTATTTATTAGATTCTTCCTAGAAATAGAATGCCTAAAATAACAAGGGAAAATTACTCAGTTCTCAGGTAGTGAGAGTTGACTATATAGCTAATGTTGGTTGCCATTTGTGTGTATATGTGTCTTATAACCTTTGGAAAAGCTGTTATGCTTAACACTTTTTTTTAAATTAGGAAAACATCACTAAATTTTCACCACATGCTTCAACCAGAGATTATGTTATGTTCAGAATCCCATTGGCTTCTATTCAAAAGTCAGCAGCCCAGACTCATGTCAAAAAAGATGCTCAACACAAGTTGTCCACTCAAGGTGATCAGAAAGTTTCTACTTATAGTCGACACAATGAATTCTCTGAGGTAATTTTTTGTTTAATCAGTAATTTACTAACAAGGTAACACAGCTGATATTGAGGACATTTAAATTTAATTGTAGTAGAAATAGAACTATTAGTGGGGGATCTTTTCTGTCCCTTTCATTTTACTCTCAAAAAATGAGAAAAACCAAAAAATTTCAAATTGGGAAATTACAAAGATTTATTTTCTATGAATTATAGATACTAGTTGGCATTATTTATGAAAGTTCAATTTTGTTGAAATAATGAAACCTTGGTTTTAAAAATTTCTTATAACTGGGTATGGTGGCTCACTCCTGTAATCCTAGCACTTTGGGAGGCAGAAGCAAGAGAGGATTGCCTGAGCTCAGGGGTTCAAGACCAGCCTGGGCAACTTGGCAAGACCTTGTCTCTACAATAAATCAAGAAAAAAAAAATTAGCTGAGTGTGGTGGCATGCACCTGTAGTTCCAGCTACTTGGAGGGCTGAGGCGGAAGGATCACCTGATTCTAGCATATCCAAGCTGTGGTGGCTGTGAGTGTGCCACTGTACTTCAGCTTAGGTGACAGTGAGACTCCAACTCAAAAATAAAGTTTTTTTTCTTGTAAAATTACTCAGTACTGCATTTTGCAGTTCATGCCTTGAGAAGATGAGGAAGAAGGCTAAACAGAAAAAGGCTAACCTTCTAAGAGTGCATTTTTTTGTTTGTTTTTGTTTTTTTAGTAGGAGTCTCACTCTTTGCCGAGGCTGGAGTGCGGTAACACTTGCATGGCCATTGCAACCTCAACCTGCTGTGCTCAGGCGATCTGTCTGCCTCAGCCTTCCTAGTAGCAGGAACTGCAAGCTCGTGTCACCACGCCTGGCTACTTTTTTGATTTACTGTAAAGACAAAGTCTCGCCAAGTTGAGCAGGCTCGTCTCAAATCCTGGTCTCAAGCAATCCTTTCACTTCTTCCTCCCAGGGTGTTGGGATTACAGGCATGAGCCATCGTGCCTGGCTAAGAGTGCATGTTTTAAAATACCGACTGCCTCATGTTGGCCAATAAATGTAAATTCTGTATAATAAAATTTAGTTCCTGTCTTAAATGTTTGATGTAATGACTAATACAACATGTAAATGTGCTATCTGTGAGGTAGTACATAGATAAAGAAAACAGGGTAAACTTTATAGCCTTACAACCCAAATAGAAAGGAGCTACATAAAAATAAGTGGCATATATTGTGATAGGTGCTTTTTAAAAAGATAGAGGAACTGGGCAACCCCTTTGGGTCCCCTCTCACTGTGGAAGCTTTTCTGTTCTCTCAAATCCTGCTTTAAAATAAAAAAAAAGAGGAACCAACTTCTCAGCGACACTAGGAAGACTTTACAAAAAAGGTGACCTTTAAGTTAGGCATGATGTATCAGTAGCATTCACAAAGTAATATAGCATATCTAAAAGTAGCAATAGTATGTCACTATTGGATCACTTAAGTGATATTCTTTTACACCTATTTTTTGAACAGTAAGCTCCCTAAGGGCAGGAGTTCTCTTAAATGTGACAGTGATGCTTCATGCATATATTGGAAAAGGCACAAAAGTGCCCTTGGTTTTTCTAACTAAATTACATTCAGTCTTTACTAAGATTTACTTATGGAATTTTTTATTTCTAGGTTGCCAAGACTTTGAAAAAGAATGAAAGCCTCAAAGCCTGTATTCGCTGTAATTCACCTGCAAAATATGATTGCTATTTACAACGGGCAACCTGCAAACGAGAAGGCTGTGGATTTGATTATTGTACAAGGTGCCTCTGTAATTATCATACCACCAAAGACTGTTCAAATGGCAAGCTCCTAAAAGCCAGTTGTAAAATGGGTCCCCTACCTGGTACTAAAAAAAGCAAAAAAAACTTAAGAAGATTATGATCTCTTATAAAATCTATTGATCATGAATGTTACATAGAAAATATTAGGTTTCAATGTAAAAATTTAAAAATTAAATGTATTGTGGTTTTTTAACTTTATGTTGAAATTAATGTAGTATCTGGGTTGTTTTCCCAAATGATGAAACCTCTTAAAATATTTTACAATTTAAATGTGAAAAGGTTTAAAATTCTTAGTACAAATCAGACAATTTAAATATTTTTAGAAAAAAGGAAAAGTGGATAGTTTTTGATACAGGGGGTAAAATAAAATTGATTCAATTTTATGGTAAATGAAAGCCATGTCATTTTACCTGGACAATCTTAAATATAAATTTGATTTACCATCTATTAACATTGAGACATTTTATTCATTTTACCAAGTTAATACCAACAGAAATATCAACTTTTGGAGTCTGTTAGTTTAAATGTTATGTCATCTTTCTTAAACTCTTTTTTTCAGTGTCTATTTCCCAAGAAGGTATCCTTTGTAAAATCTTGTTCTTTCCTTATTTCTGAAGTCTGTTTTAATAGTGTTGTATGCATGTAAATTATTTCTGTATTTTTATGTCAAATTATGAAAATAAATATCTTTTTTATGTTTGTGTAAAATGTTTTGTTCCTGTTATCTATACAATTGTTATAAACTTAGTAAATAATATATTCCTCTTATTTTTTTAAATATCTTAATCATAGAAACAACTGAATTAAGAAACTATAATAGACTGCATTTGTTTGCGTGAAGGCATTGAATGGATCTGTGTCAAGGCTTCTGGGGAGCTTGTGAGATTCCCAGCCTGCACCCTGAGCCCAGTTGTTTTCCTACTTCCAATAGTGTAATTCAGCATTTGTGTAGTTGGGTCTTGAAATCAGCATCTCAAAATGATCCCGTACACAAAGACCATAAAAACACAGAAATACTGACATGTTAATTCATCTATGACTAAACCAGTTGAATTATGGGTGGAACAGTCACAAAAAAAGAAAGATTAAAAATGTGTAGAATAAAGATTCACCTCGACTGCCATCAAGCATTTGTACTAGTAAAAATAGCCCAGGGCAAGGATTTTTTTATTCCAAAGTTAAATATGTTAGTTTTAACTATTAGTATGGAGAAATCCTAAGAGGTTGAATTCAGACAAATGGACCAAAAGAGTGTACTTCACAGATTCTATCAATAGCAGCACAAGTCTAAGGTCTTTGCCCTTCATCTCAGCAGAAACCTAAGGGAGGCAGAGCGTTCCTTTTATCCCCCAAGCAATCATGAATCTGCTTCTTGTCACTGCAGATTTGTTTGCCTTTCCTAGAATTCTATATAAATGGAATCAAAGTATGTACCCTGACTGCTTTCACTGGACATTTGTTTCACACACTACATGTGTGTTCACCGGTAATTAATTTTTTTTCTTACTAAGCAGTATGCTGTTAGATATGCCACTTTGTTTATTCATTTGTTGGTGGATGTTTGGCTTACCTCACTGTGTGCCCTTTTTTGTTATTAAAAGTAAGGTGCTGTAAACATTTGTATACAAGTCTTTGTAAGTGGTTATATTTTCACATCTAGGGTAAATAGGAGTGGAATGATTAGATAACATACTAAGAGTATGTATAGCTTTTTAAGAAAATACCAAAATATTTTTCAAAGTAGCTGTGCAATTTTATGTTATCAAGTACTATTTGAGAATTCTATGTATTTCATTGTCAAAACTTGATATCAGTCTTTCTAATTTTAGGCATTCTGATGACTGGGTGGTAGTATCTCGTGGTTATTTTCATCTCCCAAATGACATGATGTTTAACATCTTTCATGTCACTTGTCTCCATTTTGGTGAGGTGACTTAAAATTATTTGCTTTATTAATGTTGTTTTATTGAGACTTGAGAGTATATATTCTGGAGTAAGGTGCTTTATCAGGATAAGCCTCATTTTCTTAGCAGTGCCTTTGTAAGAGAAGTTTTGTTTTATGAGTTCCAAATTATTTATTATCTTTTATGGGTCATGCTTTTGGTGTTGTATGTAAGAAATTCACGAGCCGGGTTTGGTGGCTCAGCCTGTAATCCCACGCCTTTGGAAGGCTGAGGTGAGTGGATTTTCTGAGCCCCGCCTGGGCAGCGAGACCTCAACTCTACAATAAATCAAAAAATCAGCCGGGCGTGGTAGCACATGTCTGTAATTCCAGCTACTTGGAAGGCTGAGGCGAAAGGATCGCCAGACGCCCAGGAGGTCGAGGCTGCGGTGGCCGGGAGCAGCCACTGCACTCCAGTCTGGGCGACAGAGTGAGACTCCAACTCAAAAAAAAAGAAATTTACGTAGGCTAAGAGCATAATACTTTTTCTCCTATGTGTTCTAGAAATTTAACTTTCAATTTTACATTTAGATCTATGATCCATTTACAATTAAATTTTGAATATAGTGGAATATATGAATCTAAATGGACATCCACTTGTTCCAGCACCATTTTGACAAGACTATCATGACTGGCTCTGCACCTTGGTCAAAAATCAGTTTTATGGAAATATGAGAGACTATTCCAGGACTTGTTTAATCTATTTGTCTCTTGAACTCCAAAAGCACACTGCCTTGGTAGCTTTATAAGTTTTGAAATCAGGACAGTACTTTATTCTTTGTCAAAAAGAATTTCCCCCCCCCAATTTGTCTATCCTAGGTTTTTTGCATTTCTACATGAATATTATAATCAGCTTGCCGATTTCTACAAAAACAATGGGTTTTGATTAGGATTGCAATAAATCTAGATGGCTTGGAAAGAACTGACTTCTTAACACTGAGTTTTCCAATTCATGAACATAGTTTTTCCACTAATTTACATATTTCATTCTCTTAGCAATGTTTTATCTTTTCATTGTACATGTTTTGCACATCTTATATCAAATTTATCCCTGTCTCATGTTTTAGGGCTATTGTAAATGGCATTTTTAACTTCAATTTTCAGTAGTTTATTGCTACTGTATTAAAATGCAATTTCTGTTTGTATATTGATTTTGTATCCTGCAAACTTACTAAACTCAGTTATAAATGAAAGTCTATCAGATGTAGCTGATCTTGTCTTTTATAAATATGTACAGTTTTATTTCATCCATTTCAATCTATATGCCTTTTATTTCTTTTCTTACCATATTGTACTGGCTAAAACCCTCAGTAAAATGTTCTGTAGAGGTGTCATCTTTGTCTTGCTCCAGATGTTAGAGAAAAACATTTAGAATGATGTTAGCTACAGGTTTTTTATTTGTCTTTCCTTACCAAGTTGAGAAAGCTCCTTTTTATTCCTAGTCTGTTGAGAATTTTTGTTGAATCTTCTTTTTTCTTCATCTATTGATATATATATTCTTTCTGGATGTAAACATGATGAATTACATTGATTGATTTTCAAATGTGAAAACAACCTTACATTTCTAGCATTAATTACACTTGGTCATGATAGATTACCCTTTTAAAATACTGTTGGAATCAATATATATATATATTTAAAGGATGTATTTGTAGTCATGTGGAATATTGATCTGTAGTTTTCTTACGATGTTTTTGAGACATATTCTCTTCAATTTTCTGTATGTTTGTGTAGGGTTGTTTTTCTTCCTTTACCGTTAGCTAGAGTTTTCTCCGTGTCTGGAATTTTATTTGTAAAATGATTATCCTTTTAATATTTGTAGAATCTGTAGTAATGACATCTTTCATTCCAATGTTGACAAATTTTGTCTTCTTCTACTGATTAGTCTGACTACAGGTTTATCACTTAGAATGATCTCAAATAATGGATTTTTGTTCTCATATGTTTTCTCTATTTTTCCATATTTTTTATCTTTTCTTCTGTTTACTTTGGGTTTACAATTTGCCCTTCTTTTTTCTAGATTGTTAAGTAAGTGTTAAGATCATTGAGATGAGAACTTTCATCTTTTCTAATAGGTAGTGCTAGAAATGTCCATCCAAGTTCTATTCTGGCAGCATACCACAAATTGTGATTGTGTGCTTTCACTTTTGTAAATGCTTTGTAATTTTTCTTTTAATTTCTTCTTTGATCAATGTGTTAACTAGAAGTGTGGCATCTAGTTTTCCAATATTTTGAAATTTTGTATATATCTTTGTTACGGATTTCTAATTGTGTTGTGGTCAGAGAAGTCACTTCTATCACCTGAATTCTTGGTGGCTCGTGCCTATAATCCAGCACTTCGGGAGACAGAAGTGGGAGGATTTCTTGAAACAGGAATTCAAGAAGATCATTTGTATGACTTAGGGTCTCACAACTTTATTGAGATTTGTTTTACAACCTAGAATACGATCTATGTAGGTAAATGTTGCATGGTCTTTTGAAAAGATTGTGTATTTTGCTATTCTTTGGCATAATACTCCATAAATATCAGGTCAATTTGGTTGATACTGTTTTCTATATCTTTGATATCCTTACTAACGTCAATTTATTTGTTATTATTGAAAAAAGTATTGAAATCCCCAATTATTATTATGGAATTGTCTATTTTTGTAATTCCATTCCTTTTTGCTTTTATACACAGATACTCCTTGACTTATAATGTGGTCAAGTCCTGATAAACCCATCGTTTGAATTTACAAAGGATTTACCTGGGTATAGCCCCATCATAAGTAGAGGTGTATACTGAATGTGTGTGGCTTTCACCGCATTATAATAAGTCAACAAATTGCAAATTGGAGACTATATTTTGGAGCTCTGTTATTAGCTGCATAAATATTTAGGGTTATTATGTCCTCTTACTAAAATGACCCCTTTTTCTTTTTCTTTTTTTGAGTTGGAGTCACTCCGTCGCCCAGACTGGAGTGCCGTGGCCGCTCCCAGCCACCGCAGCCTCGACCTGCTGGGCTCCGGCGATCCTTCCGCCTCAGCCTTCCGAGTAGCTGGAACTACAGGCGCGTGCTACACGCC